CTAACTACTATAAAAATATCAGCCAAATCGGTGAGATTGATTGAGCATCGTCGGTCGTGGCTTGCGTGCAATGTCTCTATAGAGACAAGAAGGATTTTGCGGATCATGAGAAATCGTATTTTTTCTCTCTCATTTTTCTTTCATTTTTCATTCAATATCGATATGACGTGTAGTGGCATTATCTTTCATTTACTAATGAAATTCAGTAAGGTAAATCTAATTATATAACCAATAATATAGACAACTAAGATAACCATAGCGACATGTATGGTTGTTCTCTGACTTCCTCTCTGATTTCACTATAAATTTGTGTCAAAAGAAAATTTTAGAAAATTTGAATAAATGTTTGACAATTAAAATTTGTTTTTGTCTTCAAATATATAAATTTTTCTATTTGATTGTTTTCTTTAATACAATCTATTCAGATCTTTCTGACCATTTTTTAACAAAATTAAATACATTTATTTTAGTAATATCAGAATTTATATTTTATGTCAAATTAATAAAAATTATTGATAAAATCAATGTTAACAAACATTCCTCAATTTCTTTGAAGAAAGTTTATTTTTCTTCTACAAATATAAAAATCAAGAATTTGATTTTCTATCTAGCTCCTCTCTGATATTCTATTTTTCTTGTTTTTAGCTGTTTCTTTCAATCAGCCAAAGTTTTGTTCAATACCCGTTTGGAATTTTAATGGAATAACCATTGCTAATCGATCGATTGTTGGTCAACTTCCTACCGCCATTTTTGTGAACACAAATGACACAATCTATGTCGCTAATCGAGAAAATAACACAATTCTAATATGGCATGAAGAGAGTGACATTCCAACAAAGACCATTTTTGGTAATTTTACAAAACCCTCATCTCTCTTCGTGACGTCGAATGGTGATATTTATATTGATGACGGATATGAAAATCGTCGAGTGCAAAAATGGATAGCAGAAACGAATACTTTTGTCACGGTGATGAGTGTCAACTCATCATGTTGGGGTTTGTTTGTTGATATTAATAATACTCTTTACTGTTCAATTTCTGAGCATAATCAAGTAGTCAAAATATCATTAAATGATTCTGTGATGTCCTCAAATCATGTTACTGCTGGAACAGGTATCCCAGGATCAGCCTCAAATCAGCTAAGAGGTCCTCGTGGAATCTTTGTTGATATAAATCTGGATTTATATGTGGCAGATTGTGAGAATCATCGAGTTCAATTGTTTCAGTTAGGAGAATCAAATGGTATTACAGTAGCTGGAAGGTTAACATACCCTCCAACAACTTCACTTGATTGTCCAAGTGGAGTTGCATTAGATGCTGATAAGCACTTATTCATTACAGATCAGAATAATCATCGAATTGTTTGTTCAAGCATGAATGGTTTTCGATGTTTATTTGGATGTTATGGAGTGGGTCCACAATCCAACCAGTTGGATATTCCATATGGTTTGACTTTTGATCATTCTGGAAACATGTTTGTTACTGATCAAAGAAATTACCGAATTCAAAAATTTAAATATCTAAACAGATATTGTGGTAAGTTGAAGTATAATCGAATGATATGATGAGATATGAATGTTGATAATGAAAAGCTGTATGGTTTTTTCGTTAGAAGAAATTGAGGTTCGAAGCAAAATAAAACACTGTACATGAAACTTCTTTGATCGAGAAACAATAAAATTGTGTAAATGAAATGATTCATTAATTTAAGAGTTTCAATATAAACGTAGTAAATTCATTGAATATATAGCATTTCAACTGACTATTTATATTTTTTTTTTAAACATTTTCACTATCAAGATGTGAAGATAACGATCAGATCAGAAAAATCATCAAAGATTTTGATTGTTATTCAAATAATAAAACAGAACTTCTTACATGTTACGTAGGGGCTATGTGATCATGATCAACGTGAACAACCTTATTATTTTTTTATTTGATTGATTGCGAAAAAAATCCTCAGTTAAGTATAATCATTTAGAAGTTTCTCTTTCTCTTTTCATTGATCAGATTTTGTTTCAAGTTTTTAAGTTTCATGCAGAAGTTAAACATCGCGCTATGCATGTCAATTAAAGAACTTAATTAGATTCTCTTCGACACTGTTTAACATAATATTTTCTCTTTTCAAATGTCGAGAGACAAATATTATCACAGAAAAAAGTCAAATGATTTCAAGTGCTTTGTGGTTGAGAAACAGTTTTTTATCCCATTACACGCAGATTATCAGTTCAATACGTCAGAAACATATATCTAAAGCGAATACAAATTCCTACTAAAAGACTTGTATTGCTATGTATTCATGATAAACTTCAATTGATTTTATTGTTCATTTAGTCAATACTTTCTCTGTTTTCCAAAAGACCTATTCATCATCGTTGAGTAAGAACAATCAAATGTATTATCGAGATTGTCAGAAGGAAAAGTTTTACTATGAATCTATTCAAGTGAAGGTGACCGAAAGTGGTTACTATACTTTTCGTGGCAGTGGTAGCATTGATCCATATGGATCTATTTACAAAAATAAATTTAATCCACTTGAACCATGGGAAAATTTGCTCAGTCAAGAGTATGCTCATGGCTCTGATATTCAGTTTAAACTTGATATTTATCTTGATGTTGGCATGATATATGTATTGGTTATGACAACATTTGGTTCAAAAGAAACTGGAGAATTTTCGTTCGTTGTGTTGAATCAAAATGAAGTTATTCTAGAGCGCCTTAGTAAGTATATAAATATTTGTGTTATATATTAAATAATTCGTACGAAATATATAATATATTTTTTAAATTTAATTCCATCTTTTGTTCTATATCAAGCAAATGTGCTGAATTGATGCTATCTAATATTAAGGCATTTTTTAACAGAGTATCTACTCTTGTGTTTTTCTACCACTATCGTAGTATATGAATACTGCCCGGTTTCTACAAATACTGGATGAAAAATTCTCTAAAAAGAATAGTCAACAAGATGTTTGGGAATATTCAAGAGTCAAATACTGAAAATCCAAAGAGTATTTTGCTGTGTGTAGTTCAGCACTTTTAGATTTCTGTGACATACTGATTTCACAATACTCAATTGGAGAATGTGAATTTGGTACATTTACTAATCTCTGTTTGTAAAATTAAAACTTCATAGAAAACCTCAAAAAAATTTACTTTTGTCGATGTTAGATAATAGTTTCATGAACTGTTTCTGTTTTTTTATTAGTCGATAAATACTTTCTAAATAGAATTTGGAAAACAGAAATTTGTAATAGTATCGAAGTTCTATGAATTATTTGACTTATTTTTTATTGAACAGGTACTCCAGTAGATATTCAATTAAAGTATTCATCAAAGTTAATCGATGATAGTCCAATATATTATCGAGATTGTCAAGTACCACAATGTCATTATGAAACATTACAAATTCATGTTAATACAACGGGTTTGTATGTTCTTTGGAGTGAAAATAATATTAATGCACATGGATATATCTACCAAAATGATTTCAATCCTCTAAAACCATCTGAAAATTTACTTCTATCACACGGCGGTGAATGTAATGATGAACAATTCAAATTAATCATTGATCTCGAGATCAACACTCGATATATATTAGTTGTGACAACACACGATCCTAAGACAATTGGGAACTTCTCTGTTTTTATCTCTGGACCAAACAATGTCAGTCTTAGTCCTTTCAGTAAGTATTTATAAAATTCATTTGGTAACAAATATATAACGACATAAAATACGTGAAAAGAAGATTTCTTATAATTTTTTTGATTAGTGAGTAATTATTATTTTAGGTTTTGAAAAAAGGTCTATCGAGATATTGAATTAAATAGTTTTCGAATCTTTGAGTTGATTGATCTGTTAGAAAAGACATTTGATTAGTATGAATTCTGGATAGATTTTGCATATTTTGAATGTTGGTACCTACAACTTTTTAAATCTTTATGGTTATGGATTTTTCGAAGGCTCGACATCTTGGAAAAGTCAAGTTTTGTTCCATAATTTTTCTATTTGTAGAAATCAGTAGTGAAAGAATAGGTCGCTTTCAGTAATTTATCAATGACCTTGAGAGGTTGAAAAAAGTATTGAAAACGTTGTTATGTCTGTGTAAAAAATACACATATTTCGGTACATTGAAAAATCTTTACTTGAGAAACAAGTAAATTACCAAAACTGAGTATTTTAATTGTCAAAACAACTGAACTTCTTCATTAATCTCTTATTAAAATATAATTCAATATTTTAGGTCCAGAACAAAGTAGTTGTGTGATCGGTAATCAATGCAACTTTTACATCAAAGGAATTGGTTTAACACTCGATGATATTTTACGTGATGAACTTCAACCGAACACAGTGTTGAGTAATCAATCGTTTTCGATTAAATTAAGTGCGGGTTTAACAATAATTATGTTTGTCGCAGGATTAATCAATAGCATTCTCTCTTTTATTACATTTCATCATAAAGATTCTCAGAAAGTTGGCTGTGGAATGTATCTACTGACATCATCGATTACTTCTCTTTTGACAATTAGTATGCTCATAATTAAATTCTGGTTTGTTGTTCTTACTTATATCAATGTGTCTACTAATCTCTCTGTTCTTCGTGGAGGTTGTGCATCTATTGAACCAATTCTAAAACTCTTTCTCTACTTGGATGGTTGGCTTAATGCTTGTGTAGCAGTTGAACGAGCAGTACTTATTTTTAAAGGAGTAAAATTTAATAAAAAAAAGAGTAAGTCCATTGCTCGAAGGACAATTCTTATTTTACCATTCTGCATTTTTGGTACTCTTATTCACGAACTCGCATTTCGAAGATTGTTCGTTTATGAAACAGGACTAGATAAGATAGATACGAATAAGACTACTGAAAACACAAACAACCGATATGTATCATGTATCACTTATTATTCTCCTTCTGTCCAAGATTACAATACAGGTGTTCTATTTTTTCATCTTGTTGGCCCATTTGTTGTTAACCTTTTTTCTGCATTGTTCATCATCTTTGGAGGTGCTCAACAACGGTCAATGGCACGAACTAACCAAAGCTTTAAAGAACATATTCAAGAACAATTTAGGCAGCATAAACAATTGATCATTAGTCCAATAGTTTTACTCATTTTATCAATACCTCGTCTCATCATTTCATTACTTCCTGGTTGTGCGAAAACATCTGAGAACTTGTGGTTGTATCTTGGAGCATATTTCATTTCTTTTACTCCTTCGATGCTAATTTTTCTTATCTTTGTCTTTCCTTCAGAATTGTATATGAAAGCGTTTAAACAATCGTTCATTTGTATTCGAAAGCGTACTCCTCCCTGATCAATCCATTCAGTTTCAATGGCATGACTATTATAATAAGTATAAAAGACATTCAATATTTACTTATAGCTCGTTGTGGATAATTATCAATTGAAATAAAAACATGTGAAATGTTAATGAATGATACAAATACAGCATGCACCATCTTGAGGGGTGGGTGTGGGTGTGGATGTATAATCGGGCTTCCACCCTCACCCGAATCCATCCTTGCCCACACTCAAAAGATGCTCAAAACAATTTGTTTCATTTTCCATATACAAATGCATTCATTTATCGAATTATTTTCGATATTTCTCTTTATTCAAAGAATATATGAATGTAGTTACACCATCATACAATGTTACAATATCATTCTGATCAGTTGTATATTGTTTGACTAAATCGAATAACTAAAAGTCACATAGGCTATGATTTGAAGAATTAGATGGATGCGCGGTTATTGTGGTATTTTTTGATTTAAAATAATCGGATAGAGCTTCGTGAAGGAGTACGTGTGAATATAGGATTAATATAATACCTACACTCACACTTCAAAGGATATTGTGTGACTGCCATACCTATATTCATCATCCGCCATTATTATGTGATCACTCAGGGCATTTGCCTACAGATAACACATTAAATGCTAGATGTCGCATGTTGAACTCTTTTATTTTTGTTCATTCAAAAGATTTAATATTACAAAAAAATAACTATTTTAGATAAACTAATTTCCTGCAAAGTTTCAGCTCTTGAAAACGAGTCTGACATCCAGGTGCATAAGTGCATATCCCAATCATGTAATACTTGATTTGATGCATTTATTTTTTTCTCGATTCTACTAATATAAATATATGTTGAGATATAGATTTTAACACAGAAAATGGCTAGTAATAATATTGAAGGATTGAAAGGTACTTGGGAATATGTAAGTTATTTATATATATATCAAATAATACATGATGATCTATTACTTTAGATTAATGCAGAAAATTTTAGTGAATTATTAAAAGAACTTGGAATTAATCAAGAGATACGTACGTTTACATCAGCTGAAACTTTTAAACCTCGTGTTATAATTGATGAAAAAGATGGAAAATGGTCATTGAAATCAGAAAATACTTTCAAAACAACAACAGTTGAATTTACACCTGGAATTGAATTTGAAGATATATCACCAGATGGACATGAAATAACTGTTTGACTAGTTTTTAATTATTTTATTCATATTGTAAAATTCCTTTTTTTCAAGATGATGATTCAGTTTGAAAATGGAAAATGGATTCAAAGAGTGCGTTATAGAAATGGAAAAGAAATGTTTGTAAAGCGATGGATCAATGATAAAGATCAATTAGAAGTTGTAAGTTTTTATTTGATTCAATAAAAGAACATTTTTTCCATTATTAGAGTATGCAATGTGGAAATGTTACAGCAACTCAAATATACAAACGTCTTACGTAATTCTTTATTATAATAGAATTCCTTTCCTTATTCTTATTGCAATAGTTTTTTATGTTACAAATTTTTTTGTATCGATACAAAAATCAACAAAAGTTCCTGATATACTCAAGAAATAACAGAATGTATTTTACATGTTATGGATATTCTTATTTCCTTCAATGAATTCATCTTTGTTGAAAAAAAGCAAAGTTAATTATATCGTTTTTTTTCTTATAATTACAAAAATATGTTATATTCTTTTGTAAAAGCATCATTACATGATAATGCAACAGCTGGCTATACGAGTACCTTTTTAAAATATATTCTTAGAATAGTTATATTACTTCATCTTCGATACTATGTAAATCACAGATGGTGCCATTTTCTTATTCGTTATTTCATTTGACAGCAAAAGATTAATGATGAAATTTTCTCATTGATTCTATAATATATTCAAAGCATTTTTTCGAAAAACAAGATATTTCTTCATCCCTATCATAGAAACTAAATGAGTGTGTGGATGTGAATATTATTTTTATTATATTCACCTTCAAGACGGTGATACAGCGTTATTTTATTGTCAAAGATTCTATTCTCAATCTTGATATATTTATTGAAAGCTAGATTGTATGACGCAACGAAACGCCAAAAACGATATGTATTTTGTTTTCTATGATGTTGTCTAACATTCAAGATTGGCTGGATCTGTGTTGAAATATGTATGCATTGTGCTAAAGCCGCCAGCGTCATCGTATTGTTGAGACATACATTTTGGGACAGGATTGAGAAACGACTAAATAAACAGTATTTAAATTAAGATATAGAGAATGACAAACGTACAAGAATAGCTGTCTTTGGTGGAAATTCAATGCGTGGGGAGAAGTCAAACTTGTCAACAATAATCCATCCAAAGGCACTCAATTGTCCTTTGTTGTACAGCGCAAAGCCTGGTAGAAACTCGGAACAGTTCTTATTCAAATGATTATCATACCAGTAATGATTACCTATTTTAAATAAAATAATATTACACACAGATAGGCAAATGAAATGATTTACCCATCGTTTTGAAACACGCTCCTCGAGTCCATTTTGTTCTACCAATATCATTCTCCCAAAATGGTACTTCAATAGAATCTTGCAATGGATTTGTGCCATTTTGAAAAAAGAGACCTGTTCCTGTTCCTTCATGTTCAAGACGTGATAGTGTTCGTCCCACAGTGCATATTTTAGCTAGAGCAGCGATATAAAAGAATTTAATCCTCACAAAACAGGAAAGACCTACCTGGTTCGATAAAATAGGCAGTAATTGTGTACATGTCAACATTATTAATTGTCTCTCTATTAAACAGTTTTTGAGTATCATATGAATAAAATTTATCCTTAGCCAATAATCGAGGAAACTAAACAAAAAGAATATTCATCAAAGGAGAATAAAGTGAGACTTACAGCCATTTGAATACCAGCAATAGTTCCTTGTCTATCAAACAGAAGAATAACTGCAGTATCATTATTTTTCCAGTAGTGATAACCAACAGTCGTCTTACCTGTTATTTATTAAAAAAATATATAAAAACTATTCTCATAATATCTGCAATAAATCGTATCATCCCTATAAATATCTATTTGATCTGTCTAGCATTGCAAGTAAAGTACCCGTAGGAAAAGAGGATACTCAATGCAGTATGAGATAATATCTATGTTGTTCTTACCAATACATTGATCTCCTAGGCCATTTGGAAGCCTTTTATATTGTTCTTGTAAAGCTTGTTGAACTGTTCGCGGCTGTCGAACAAAGGCATCATCGTTAGTTACCAACGGATCTGGTCCCCATTTAACTTTAAGTGTGTTCCATTCTACTACTCGCTTGACATTCGTCGGTGACAGCAATAAATGAACGTCTTAATAAATAAACAAATACTAGAAAACTACTCAGAAATTCACTCTATAATACTTACCAGAGAAAGAGAATGCGAAAAGAATAATAAACTTTAGATTAATCATTGTTTCTTCTATTTAGAAAATCCTCCATTAATATCACTTTTCATATATATAGGGTTGATATTTATGCATACATCACGATGATTATAGAGACAAAAAAGAAAGATTATGTTAGAACAATGAGTAATTACAGTTTAATCCATGATAAATCGTTATCATAAATGATGACATTATCAAAAAAAAGAAAATGATGATAACATATAGACAAAGGTCTCTTCGAAACCCAACAATATTTGCGCAAATATAATGTCAAACAGATACTTCATTAATCTGTTTGTTTAGATATTTTCATTTCTTTCTTTTTATAATTTGAATGTTTTGATAGCAAAATAAATCTCTTTTAAGAAAACAAAGTATTTTCGATAATTTATGAAATATTTTATATGGCGAATAAGAGAGATAATGTAGATAGGATCATTAAAATGAATGGATATCCATTATTAGTAGCTGCTATTGACGTAGTTGTTATTGAAGTGGTAGTATTAAAAGATATGGATGACAAGCATGGATCAGTGAAATTACTAGAACTGGAAGTAACAGTATATGAAGTGCTCTGGGTTCCATTGGCCTGAGCAGAGGTGATATAAGACGTACAACCTGTGCTAAAGCTTTGCGTCGCACAAGCTTCAATAGAAACTGCGGGAAGCTGGATGATTCCCGAAGTACTGGCACCGGAAATAGCAAATACAATTGCTTGACTTCCAACAAGATTTGGACTACTGAGCCATATGAAAAATTGTATCATTCCATAGGTTTGTGCCGCTATATCGAAAGAGTAAACAAAAGAAACTTGATCGAGCTGATTAGAAATTGGAACAAAGATCGACTTGTATACGACCGAAGATCTGCTGGTAGTATCGACAGCTTTTACATTTAGAATAAGTGGATAATAGAATGGTGCAACTCCAGCATTAGACATCGTAACATCTATTCTTATAACATGTGAACTAGAAAGAAACAAATAGTATTACTTGAACGATTTCGTTAGAAAAAGAAGTAAATACTAGATTATATACTTACTATCCTGAACAAGTCATCTCTGTAGCAGTTATTTCAGACACATAGAAAGAGTATCCTTGCATAATAGATCCATTAACAGCTCTACTATAATCTGAGCTACTATATCCAGGAGTGTAGAAAGCATAAGAAAGCCATTGATATGTTGAATGAGTCAATTGAACACAAGTAGCCCAATCTAAAGGTGTTAAATCAGTTATTAATTGGCAAGCTGTTACAGGATCGCTTGCAAATGCACAAGGCATCAATTCAGGACGAACTTCACCTCCAATAGGCTACAATAAATTCAGTCTTGATGAATTTAATAAAAATTTAAGTAAGACTTACTCGACTTCTCCATTGATTCGTAGCTCCTACTGCTACACTGGTATTATAGAACATCCAAGATAATCCGTATGTATCTTGATCAAATGAATCATCATGAAATCCTACATTTAAACTTGTAGGATTGTAACTTCCAGTAACAGCAAAATAACGAAGTTGAATAATTGTTTTAGTAAAAGATGAAGTAAAAGCAGCAATAATTTGATCTTGATGAGATGTTGATGCAAAATAAGTCGTATTAGGTGAAGTATGCCATTCACCCCAATGACCTAGAAATCCCACCTGCCAAAATCCAATTCTAATATCTCCATCATAGGCTCGACCTGAACAAGTATAATCAATATGAAACGTAGAATAGTTTCAAACAAAAACGCAAACCTAATGCTTGAATAAGAATGACCATAGCATTGATTAGCGTTTGATTATTATAATCGGGAAAGAGACCTTGATCAGAAGATCCTGAGTATAAACTAAAATACTAGAATAAAATTCTTTCTATATTTTATTTTTGACAGAGAACCCTTACGTAAGTCCATTCCAAAGAAAATCAGGCACAGATAAACTTAAATCTTGTCCAGGCCAATCAACATAGACTCGAACAATAGCATGATGACTTCTACTTGCAACATTTCTCAAAACACTATCGATCGAAGAGAAATCGAATGAATCTGGACCAGTCATTAAATCTTTCATTGGAAAATAATGATTTTCCATTGAATGTGGAAAATTAACTTGAGGTTGAGAACTTGTATAATAGTAATAAGGCACAAGGCCTTTCAATGGATTCCAAGCAGTTGAACTAGGATCATATGTGTACGTCCAACTAGAAGACACTCCACCAAATGCACTTCTTATGAAAACAATTAGAAATGATAAATAAATCACATGCATTTCGAATTTATTCTCTGGAAAACAACTTCAATTGTATAAAATTTTAATCTATAAACAAACAGTACAGTTTAAGAATAATCTTAGAAAAATATTGAACGAAGTACCAGATGACAATAGAAAATAAATCATATCGGAAAGGTAACTATTTAAGCGTTAAGCAATTTTAAATGAGTGTGGGTGAGAATAGAAATGTTGATGTGAATACAAAAGAAAGATTCTCGCCTATATCTGTGCACTCCCTCAGGTTTATAGATCTGAAATAAATGTCGAGCACAAGATGTATGCATTGAAAATTTGTGTCAGATGACTAATTTCAGATCCTGGGTTGAATAAAGCTGAATATCAATACTTTTAGATCAAACATGGTTTAAATCATACATCTTTGGCAAATCTTCATTCTATGAGCGACTAAGATAAATCTCAACAAACATAATACACATGAAATGATGACAAGTTGCGGAAAAAAGAAAAAACTAAACATGTGATGAAAAGGAACGAAAGAATTCAGATACATGTGACGTGTGTAAGAAGAAACGATCACAAGACAATCAACGGAAAATAACGACTTCTCAGCCTTTTTTTATTTACTAAAATGTGTATTTTTATCGATAAGGGTAGTAATTTTACCTAATAATTATAAATTTGATTTAGTAAAAATCAACTTAGCATTTATATATTTGCACCTGGCGCTGAAATAGATGTCTATCAGAAATAATTTTAGGAAATAATTGTCATTATTCGAATACATAATTTATCTGCACGTTCTCTATGGAACCGATATCAAAATATCAATGATAATAAATAAAACATTTCTTTTTTTCGTAAAATCACAAAACAAAATGTTCTCGACACATCTATCGGTCGTTTAATCTTCAAATAAAAACTCATAAAATAATTAAACGAAATACTTATAATTTATGGTTCATAATAACCAGACAACTTGTGTGCTTAAAGCGAATTTTTAGTATTTCTTAATACGAACAGCCTTTCGAGATGAAGTCTAATCTGTAAAAACAAACTGTTTATACAAATAGCACATTTTTGCAAAAGAAGAAATTTCGAAAGAAAGAAAGAAAAAAACATGAAATCCACACAAAATGATACGCTTTTTGTGTCCTATAACAGGATTTACAAAAAGTGTAGAAACTTATATGATAGAACGTTGAAATACCTCTTTCTTTAGGTCCTGACCGAAATCAGTCAAAAATGTCTGAATAATATCTTCCCAACGATGAATATAAGAATCAGTTCTATAAGATTTCACACAACATATCGCAAGATGAAGTATGAAAATGGGTACAAATATTAGAGCATAATTTTGCTCACCGACAGAAAACTAGCTTGAAGTAGAAAATTTTGTTTTTCTCTATTGAAAACAACTCGTACTCAATTAAAATAAGTTTTACTTTGTGATTTAAAGAACTTTTCATACTCTAGGTAATGTCTTATATTTTTGTCAGACACTTTAATTTCTCTATGAAATTCTTATGTTTAATATTTTATGGACGAAAATGAATTTACAGTAAAAAATCGTTATACTTACTTTGAAAAAGTACCATCGCTAGTTGCTAATCGTCACTAAACATTTTTAAACAAACGATAAACATCAATGCACTTTTTTACAAAATGTCATGAAAGAAAAACATCAGAGTTTGCAGTAACTAACAGTAAAAATAACTATGCAATTATTTCTATAGGACAGTTTGTTTCATAGGCGTTGTTCGTTATTCTATACTTTTGTTTTCGCCTCCAGATTTCTTAACTTTTCTTTGTTTATTCTCTCTCTCTCTTGCATAAACAATATGAAACAAACATCGTTCAATATTTTTGGATGCTTGAGGATGTGATGTGAGGTGTAATTCAACATCCACCTCTATTTTTGAATTTCCATCTAACTGGATGTAAACATAAGTCTTTCATATGATTCTGTGCTTTGATTAGTTCTGAAGCCATAAACAGATGTTGAGTTGACTGTGCAATAAATCAAGAACCATTGTATTGTGTTCTTCACACAACGTAATAAACAAATAAACGACATTCTTTTTTTTTTCTTTCTTCTTTATAACAATCTTTGAGACACGTTATTTAGTGGAAGGCAGAACTGTGAAGGAGAACACGATGAGTTACGGTTAATTTTTTTTATTTGTTCTGTTTTCTTCAATAAAAAGCGAGCCGTCATTGATATAGAATGCTCTTACATTAGAAATCAAAAAAGTACATTCCATTTATGACGCGTTACATATTTTGATTTTTTTCTTTTCTCTCCTTGTCATATTTGTTGGAAAGATGATGCAACATACGAAGCTATGAAATAATCACTGTGTTGATAAAAAAAATCATAAAATACGATTACTTAGATCATCGTCTTTCTAGGATCATTTTTTCAATGCAAAAATTTATTATCGACAACGAAATCACTGGAGAGATATAGCAATTGTTCTGATGAAATGACAAGAGTGTGGGTGTCTTCTCTAGACTATTTTAATCTCACTCATGTCCACATTGAAATTCACTCAACTAATCGTGTTTTGTAGTTTCTTAACCGACACAATAATTATCACACAGCGATTGCAAGAAGAAAAGAAAAGAAGAAAATCAAAATATGTTATTCGTCATAAGTACAATGTACTTTTTTCAGTTGCAAAGGGCATTGTATATGAACGACGGCTCGCTTTTTATCGAAGAAAACAGAACAAATAAAAAAAGCTAATATTACTCATCTTTTTCTCTTTCACAGTTCTGCCTTCCACTAAGTAACGTCTCTCAAAAATTGCTAGGAAGAAGAAAGAAAAAAAAGAATGTCGTTTATTTGTTTATTACGTTGTGTGAAGGTGACAATACAACAACTCTCAATTTGTTGAACAGTCAACTCAACGTCTATTTATGACTTCGGACTTAATCAAAGCGCAGAATCACGTGAAGGAGGTACGTATATTTCCTTTTCATATTCCTCGAAGATCCGCAAAGAATTCGTTGTTTTTCTTGAGTAAACAATGAAACCCTGAAGTTCTTGCCAGAATTTTAATGCTTTCAAAGAAAAAATTGTGGTTATATATTCAAAGATCCTAGTAAGTTTCATCTAGAGTATTATCATCAGGATTTATGAAAGTTTCTTTCGTGATAGTATTAGATTACTTGGCGGGATCTTTGGAAGATTATCTTAAAGGAACAGAAAAGAAGGGACCAGATAGAGTATTGATTCATCCACCTTCTGTTTACACACCGATCATGTTATCTGATTGAATAGTATATATAGATTCGACCTTGAAAATCTTAACTTCAGTTAAAATTTTTTTGTCAACATAATTATTTTGAGAAAATATTGATTTTGATTGAAAATTTTTATTATATTCTGTTTAGCTTTGATTTAATTTAGAAAAATATTTACCTAACGTATTTTTTAGAGATAAACAAAATGTAGAAGTTCTATGGAACATTTTTACTTGAGACATGTGTCAGATCAATTTTAGTGTAGAACATATATTATGAAAAGACCTTCGACGAAAACTCACTTGGGTGAAAATCTTCTTTTTATTCAAACGCACACCCACCCTCAAGATGATTGAAAGTACTATTTTTTTTTCATTCTAGGTCGTCGCGGAACTCCAACTTCCACTTTTCAACGGGGTTGTGTAAGTTGTCCGAATGGTATTGAGATACTGCTTGAATACGCTTACAGCATGATGTATGCTTAAAGTCTGTTATTATCACTTTCGATCTTTTCAAGATATACCTTCGGAATATAAAAGTTATGAAATATGTTTTATGTGCTTTAGTGAAACCTCGGCCGACTTTGGATTTTTTCAATTTGATAATCCTGATGAGAATAATACAAACAATCTTTTATCACAGGTAAACTGCTCGAATTTTTTGCTATTGTTCATGGAGTCAGGTCATCATATAAAACATCATCGAACCGTTTCTCAACTTTTGCCTTATTCTAATCGCATATTTATATGATATCTGTTAAGTTCATTCATCTTGATGGTCGATCAACAAAAGAGGTGGTGGCAAAATTTATCATCGATGCCTACCAGCTTCCTGTTCCTGATCTGATCCTCTCAATTCAGACAGATAGCATCAATGTTGAGAATCAAGAAACTAAGAGCATCATTCGTCGTGGTATAGCTGCTACAGCAAGAATAACAAGTGAATAAATTGAGAAAAACTGATACGTCTTATATACTTTTCTTCGAACATTTAGATGCATGGATTATCACAAGAGGTATCAAACAAGACATGATCGAACTAGTTGGAACAACGCTACAAACTGATGCGATGGACAGTGATGTACCTTGCATCGGTTTCTGTAATTGGAAACGTATATCAGGTAACAAGTGTACGATATTGCTCTTGAAATATATAACATATCGTTTTAGCTACCACTCACGGAAAAGTAAGTGCTCGAGTGAAATGCGTGTTTATGCGAATTGAACTGCGTTTTCTTTTGTTAGCGGGACAATTGCCAAACTCCTCCACAATACAATCAAATGGATATAACTCCCATCGATGATTGCGAATTGGAATCGAACCATACTCATTTTGTTCTCTTCGATGATGAGATAGACAATGTAGAAAATATCCAATTGAAACGTGGCGAAATCGAACGTCAACTGAGCAAGACATTGCTAGAAAATAAAACTGTCAATAATGAGAATCATTCAAAGAGTGGTATGTACGATGAAAACGGGGAGAGCATTTGTAATCATTATATTAATAAGTAACATATTTTCTAGTATTTCGAAATACTGTTCCGATTGTTACGCTGTTACTTGGTGGCAACATTACAACACTCGTTGTTATATGTGAAGGATTACAGAATGAAACACCAGTTGTTGCTGTTCTAGTATGCATTTTTACATTTGAAAATATCTATCCTATAAAACTATATATGATGTTTGATCCGACGATTATATCTAGTTGAAGAATTTATTTCTTTTAGGGTACAGGTCATCTTGCAGATATCGTCGCTGCCCTGTGCTACGATCTACGCTCATATCACGAACTTACCCATAAACAATTCAATGATTATCCAGATTTAAAGAAGAAATTAGAAGAAAAAAAGGAGAAAGATATACAAGAGTGCAAACTTAGATTGAAAGAATTGGGGCGTTTAGAAGGAAAGAATACAGATCAAATCGATGATAAAATTAAAAAATGTGTAAAAATACTAGAAGACATGAATACGCTTATTGCTGTATACGATGGAGTTAAATGTATTGATAATCTAGAAGATGTGATTGCAGATGCAATGTGGAATGAAATATCCTATCATCGCAAGAATAAGGAGACAAGAAACGATGGATACGATCCAAGAGCTGAGGAATTGAAATGGTGTTTGGTAAATTTTCCTTTTCTCGTCAATGAATCAATAGAAAATCCTTTTTGTGATTATTTCAGATCTGGAACAAGGAAGCACGTGGAGAACTGGAGATTTGGATTAATAGTGGAGACGAGAATTTGGCATTGGCAGAAACTAAGCGACGTTGGGTGAGTGTCTGCTTATCTTTATCAAAATTATCGTAACTATGTATCTTTTATAGGTAAGCAAACTTGGACAATCAGCACTCTTCGAAGCTTTATGTAGAAACAAAGTCTCTTTCGTCAATCTGCTCATGGACAACGGCGCCTCAATAGAAGCATTTGAAATCAACGATTTGCAGATTATTTGTAAAAAAGCAATGGTAATGTAAACTAAAACAAACGTGCACAGTGCACTATTTTTCATTCAAAATATATTACTTTCACAGAATGACGATGCTCTGCCTCTCGACTGGCCTCCACGTCATCTTCATGCATCAAATGATCCGACAAAATTGCTAGAAAATATGCATAATTCTTATCTTATTCAATATTTAGGATATTACGTAAGGATAATATAACAGTGGGTATAATAAATGCCTCTGTATGACGTATTTTAGGTCAAGAAGGAACATAAGACGCGAAAGAAACCAACGATTGAAGAACTCGTACTTTGGAATCACAACCCAAAGCACGACTGGAAATACAGTACTGGTATATTGTTCGATGAAAACAAGACCGAAACGCTTTATCTCTGGTTTTTATTCATGAATCGACCGGACATGGCAAAGTGTCTTTGCTCCACAATTTCGGTAACAAACACTTTCGATATATTTTTTTATCTAATTCTCTTTCTTTGACATTCTCTAACTGTCAGAATCAGACTGTGGCCACACTTCTTGCTGCTACAATCTATTTCAAAGCATCAGAGAATGACAATGAAAATAGGCGTTCTTTGATAAATATTGGAAAGTAAGTAGAACGAATTCTGTGTGTATATTGAATTTAATTTTTTAATTGAAATAGACAATTCGATGGACACTCAAAAAATCTCATCGATGAATGTTTCGTTCAAGATAAAAGTCTTGCTATCAGCGTACTTGAATGCAAAGCTCCGGCATTGTATCATTGCACGCCGTTGGATGTAGCACGACGTACCGACTGCAGGGGTTTTCTTGCCAGCGATACTGTTCAAGCACATCTCGATCAAAAGTGGTATCATCATTTTGACACTCATCAAACCTTACTGAAGTTGCCTATCTATACGTGGGTTCGTTAAAGTTTTTCATGAGATAGGTAGAATATTCATCTATTAATTATAATTTTTATTTAGATATGTATCGTATCGTTGTTTTTGCCTCTTATACCAATATCAGCCGTAATTTTTCCTTTTCTCTACAAAAAATCTGCTGCCGATTCTCAAGTAATACAAATCAAGCAAGATTTTTCTAATAATCATTCCCTATTCTATTGTTACATAGGAAACTAGCAACTCAATTTCATTTGGTCAGCCAGTCGCCTATCGATCGGCGTTAGTGGAAGATTTTCTCTATTCTCGATGTCTACTCTATTTTTTGTAGATCTACAGACGATTGGAATTTTGAGAGTATCCGAGGTCATAGACGTCAGAACACTGGTTGTAAGAAGTGGTGCACAAAACCAATTGACAGGTTGCGTGATCTATGGCTTAGAATTGTCTGGTTTTATGAAGCTCCAGTAGTGCGCTTCTACTACCATGCTGTGAGTTTTTTCTACTCTTACTCTTTTCCAAATAGCTAGACTTTGTTATTTTATTTTGTATTCAGATATTCTTCTTTGCATTTCTAATTCTCTTCAGTTATGTTCTTCTCGTTGACTATTTCCCATTGAATATATATGGGGAAACGCGCTCTGGTTATCAAATCTTAAAAATTCCAATTTCCGAAATTGTGTTGCACATTTGCATTTGGAGTTTAATTATCGATGCATTACACCAGGTTAGTTGTCTTTCAATTTTAATCGATTTGTGTTTCATAACTCGATATATTATTAGGTGATAATACGTGCACAATTGGGTTATAATAATATTATTAGCACCTGGAATTGGGAGGATCTAGCAGCCGTTACTTTTTACTTGGTTGGATTTATTACCCGCTTTTTTGTTATCGAAACAGTCTTCATTGTATCAAAGTAAGATGTTATTTGATAACAAATGATTTACTTACTTTCATGTAGGATATTCATGGCAATCGATCTGATTATTTGGTCTTTTCGTGTACTTCATCTTTTTACTGCTTATGAAATCTTGGGTCCTAAATTAGTCATGATTTATAAAATGGTGAGTATATATATTATATTTGAGAATAGTATCCATCTGATTTCTAACTTTTTATTATAGATGAAAGATGCCGTCCTGATCTTCGTGTTTTTCATTCTTATTCTTCTCTTCTCATTTTCAGTTACATCCTGGTCTCTGCTAACAACTAGCAATCAAGTTAATTGGACATATGCCGGAGATGGTTCGTTATATAATGTTACTGTAATGAATGGTGGTAGTGATCTATGGACATGGCAATTATTGCGAGATGTTTCCAATTGGGGTATTTGGAAAGTATTCGGACAAACTGATGAACCATATAACGGTGTTGTTAGCGGTATGAATATATTTGTTTTGATCGTTTATCTTCATAAATGATAAACTCTTAATTTTTTGTTAGGTAATGATGTTTATGGTACATTTGTTTACTTACTTGCAATTGCCTTCGTATTGATATCAAATATACTTCTTGTAAATGTTCTCATTGCGATGTTTAAGTAAGTGTATCAAATGCTAGATTTCTAAAATAATATTCTTTTGTACTATGTAGTGTGACCATTCAACGTATACTTGATCGATCGCGTATCATTTGGAGACATCAACGATTCTTGCTAATTTATGAATACAGCGAAAGACCAGTATTGCCTGCTCCGTTGAACGTTTGTTACTATCCAGTTAAATTCATAATATATCTCTGGCGTCTTTGTTGTTGTGAACGTCCATGTGTATCATCTCGAGTCACCCAAAGTACTGATTAAACTAAAGATATATAATATATTTTGACAAAAACTTTTCTACTTAGAAAAACAATCTGAACGTGTTCTTTCGGACATCTTGTATCAGATAGATTATGAAAAAGAAATCGCCGAAATGTATTGGATACGAAAGGGATTTGTCGACAAAGAGGAAGCGCAAAGTCAGAGTGATGATTATAAAAGTTTGGAGAAAAAGTATGTGCTAAACTAATTTCTTATATTGCATCAGATACTTATTCTTGTCTCTCCGTAGAGTCAATAAACTTAACGATGGCATGAACAGAATACTTCAAAAAAATTCTTTGCCAACACTAGATATTCAACTATCTCAAGTAAGGGTGTGGGTGTGTTTTATTGATTCTTACGACTATCTACACTTTCCAGACCATTTACATCAGTATAGAGGATAGATTTACATTGCAAAAGGCTTGCGGAAAGTTTTAGGGGTTTTATTTAAATCTGTGTAATTTGAACTTGTTTGATATAATCATAATAAATAGTCTTTATTTTTAGAGTGACATTGAATCTATTTCTTCAACTACCAGCCTGAAGAAACATAAATCTGTAGCATTGCTTCCTACTGATTCTTCTCAAGCGGCGAAAGCAGATGTTATAGGACGAGTGCGAGTAAACATTATACGAATGCTCGATCTCGGAAAACCTCTGGAATTAGGAACTCAGCGACATTCGGCTGCTGTACCTCAGACACTACCATCTGTACATCAAAATGTGCCTGTGGTTGAGAACACAATGAAGTTAGAGTCATCTAAAACATCTGGGTATGTAATTTGCTTAATTTTGCATAAAATAATTCTAACACTATTTACGATTTTCAGACCTGTTACTGTCAACATGCGGGTTTCTCGACAAAATCAACCTAACAAAGCATTATTTAACGGGAATCGATCTAATGTGACTGATGATAACCCAATTCCATAATCAAGATATGATGGTCATTCACACAAATATAACTAATCGCTTGTATTATCGTTACTTCGATCTCTTTTTCTATATGAATTGAAATCTTCTCTACACATTTAATAAAATCGCACACTTTTAAACGTTTTAAGAATACTTTGTCCTTTGAAACTGAACATATTCTTATAGACACTTATTGACGAATATTGCCTTTATGAATTGTTCGATGACATATATCACTACTGATAAAAAAATATATGCTTTCCTTTTTGCTCAATTTACTTATGTCATAACCAGAATGTTCATATTGATTTACTCGTAACTCATTGATTAAAAACATCAAATACTGTCTTGCAAATTAATATATGCTCATATTTTAGTAATCAATCATTCTATATCAATGTTCAATATATAACAGATGCTGCAGTAATAATTGTACACCGATAAGAAAATTAAATCAAGTGATTTTGTTCTATCGTCTAAATACTTATTTTATTAACTACATCCACTATGAGTTGGTTGGTTTTTATTTATATATCTACTACATTCTGGCTGTCTGAAGCTCCTCCTCCATTAAAATGCCTTGCAATCTGTAACTATACGCTCAATACTTCATCTGTCTTTTACGAACCAAACAAATGCAAAAGCAAAACCGAAACCAGAGAAACAAAAGTGTGCTCTGTTAAACTTCAGTTCAATTATAAAAAATCGAATGTTAGTATCTTTCGAGATTCTGCCGAGAAATTACCTCCGAATTTTGATAATAAATTTCAAAGACTTAGCACTCTCACGACTAGAATTGATTTAAAGAATGGTGATGTTTATCATGATTTCACCCATTATTGTTCAATGAATGCTTCCTGTACGACAGCGTTTATGAAAGATACTTTTGATAAATACAAAACACTATCTTATAAAATATTTGTGGAAAACCTTCGTCATTTACTCAGATTGAGTGGACCGTTGTCAAAAGAACTGGTTCCGATCAACTGTTTCGTTCAAAATGGTGATCCAATGGAATGCATGAACGGTATATGTACTGTCTTTAAATCACCGTATAGTGACACTATGAAGGCAGGTTGTGGTTTAAGTCAAAATAATGTACCAGCTCCATTTATAATTGATACTCCAAATCTGAATATATCGACTCAGTTTAGCATTAATTTTCAGTGTTATTGGTCATTATGTAACGATGAAAGTCTTGTATACACAACATATTATTTTATTAGAGATAGTTTACATTCACCAATGGGACTGACAACATTTGCTCCTATAACATATATGAATACGTCAAGAAAATTGACAACAGTAGGTCACACAATACATATGACTACGTCAACAAAAATGGCAACGGTAGGTCACACAACATATACATATTCATCAGCAAAAGTGACAACAAAGCGAATCACGAAAGTAACAACTGCAAGCTCAACTATAAGCACTGACATAAAATCCGATTCATCGCATTATCAAATGACTTTTTTATCAATAGTGACTCTGTGCTTAACAGTATCCTTGACATTGTTGGTTTATTCTTCTTAAATTTAACTACACGTTATATTTTTTGATTAGATGAATACTTATCCGATCTGCATGACTTCAAGCAAGATGATATATCAAATGTACCTATTAAACAACATCTTTATCGCTTCCTGGAGAAAAAATACGATAGCTCCAATACGTAACACAATTATAAAAATCAGTGAGAACATACGTTAAACTGCTAACAATTTTGATGATTTATAGGATCTATTTCCATGCGCAACCTCGCCTGAACAGATATATGTGTCGCAGAGAATCAAATAAAATATCTATAGTTACATTCATACTTTCAGATACATGTACAATAAAACCTCTATTACTGAACACCCCACCTTAATGAATAATCAGTAACACTGACGACCTTCAGGACTGTCCGAGCCAATTTTAAACCTCTCTTCACTCTGAATGTGAACGCATTTTTATAGTCCCCACCATATATATTATCTCCGTCAATGTGAGCATCAACAGAGGGCGCTTATTAGATGAAGTGTATAATCATAGCTGAGGAAATAATTGTCATAAATTTTATTGATTCCCAAAATATATACAATAAAAATAGAGGCGAGAATTGAAAAAAACCATCTTGAAGGTGGGTGTGGGTATAGTTCCTATCTAACTGTTACATTCACACCGACATCCATCCCCCCTCCAGTATAAAATGATCACCCCGCTATACAAAATGTTTTTCCCAGGTCCCAATGATGTTCACATTAGAGAGGTTTTACTGTGTATCTCATTTCTTTCTTAAAGAAAACTTCTGTTGTAGATAGACAGTTACAATAGATAATAATATGCAATGGTCAAAGTAATACTTTTATTATTAGTCATTATCGATCGTATAACGTATTCATGGACGAGGGTATCTGTTTATAATACCGACAAATCTAGCAACACTACTTTCGAATATGATTGTGTACATTTTGAAAATGCATATGACGAATTGCTATACAAAGTTGAATCCTTTGGGATATCACAAACTATTCGTTATTGTCTTCGTCCTTCCCCTACAGTCGATAACTATTTACCTGTAAGAGAAACACATAAGTTTTCTCGCTCCTTCAAAATTTTTACGTTCGAACAATTATACTACACATATAATGCAACTATTCATGAAATTCTGTCATCATCACTATACACGTCCATAGATGATATTGAGCGATATACAATATATTTAGCAACTCTAAACGATTCCATGTCACAAGAGCAAATTTATAAATGTAATAATCCTTGGTTCGGTTCAACATGTCAGTATATTTTTAATTCGTACAGCCCATTCGAACTCACATTGCATTCACTGCAGACTGCTCATTCTTTTGAACTTGATATCAAGCGTTCATCAAATATATCATCACTAACTATGACGTGCTATACACATTTAATTTGTAATCGTGGACCACCACCGGCATGTTTAGACTGGCGTGAAATTTGTGATGGAAAAATTGACTGTGGTAATGATAATGGAATCGATGAACTTTTTTGTGAGTATTTAGAAATCTTAAAATGCGCTAAAAACGAATATCGTTGTTTGAATGGTCGTCAATGTATTCCCGAAGAGTTTTATCGCGATGATCCATTAAATCCTGACTGTCAAGATGGTTCAGATGAGATTGTATCTGATTCAATTGAACCACTTACTTATCCACATGAATGCGATCGAGATCCTGCTTTTCGATGTGAAGAACGTACGTGTCCACCAAATACACTTTCTTGCGGTGACGGACAATGCGTAACTTTTTTTCACCAGTGTAATAATCATAGAGGAGAACTTCTCATAATGGAGTTTCAAATTTATAGAGATGATCGTACTTTATCAACATGTCAATCCCTTCCATATTTATGTGGTACTCATATTGATGAAATCTACGATTGCCAAGCATCATGTTGGAGTAAGAAGATTGTTTTATGTAAAGCTGGATTAAGTCAATTATGTGCATCAACTGTTTTTAAACAATCACCGTCCTATTTTCGACCAAATCATGACATGTATATTTTTTATAATGACAATCCAATACCATCAAAGAGATCTTGGATCATTGCTCCGCATGATAATTGTTATAATGATACGTACTGTCACAACACAGAGATATACTCTGATACACCACACGATATTTCGTGTCGACGTAATCAAGCTAAAATGCATCTTAACTATGTTGGTTCATATTCAAGAAGTGATTTCACAGCTACTATCCAACGTTTGACAAAAAGATGTTACAAAAACTTTACCATGAATAACACTGATCAAAAATTATCGTATAAAAACAGTAAGATTTTTGATCTATATAATGATGATAATTCTTTACGAAACAATCAGAGTCAAATAGAATCTTCGATCCATGAAAAACGTATGAGCGTGATAACAGGATTTAATGTTCCTCAAAATAGATTCGTAACAAGCAAATGGACTGACGATTCGGAATTTTTTAAACTTTGCGATCGAATACAACATTTCAATTTAATGATCATCGGTGGTATAAATTATACAGATGAAACTGAATGTGATCACTGGCCATGTAATAATATCTATACGCGTTGTAATGGATATATAAATTGTCCAGATGGAGCTGATGAATTGAATTGTAGTTTAATTCGATGTATGGATAATGAAGTGCTATGTGTATCAATATATAGCAGAAAATTAGAATGCCTGCCTCAAAACAAAGTTAAGAATGCAAAAGTTGATTGTATTGGTGGCACAGATGAGCGATTATTATGTGGCTTTAATTTTAATCCATTCTTGCCAGAATTCGAATGTTCATCAAATAATAAATGTATAAATAATACAAAAGTTTGTAATAATAAACCTGATTGCAGTAATGGTGAAGACGAATATATTTGCAACTCATTTTCGTTAACCATCATTCAAGCTATTCTACATTGCGGATATTCTGCAGAATTTATTTATGCACATTCACCAGATATCACTTGCTCTAGTTTATATTTTTCCACGATTACTTTTCTGTCTTCAATGGACCTCATTACGTATCCGCCTATGAACTTAATGAGTTTAATTGAAAATCGTACCTTATTGGAGTTAAATGCTAAAAACAAACCAATTTCCAAGATGAATGTGGTGCCTAAAAATATTATAGAAAATCCGCCACCGAATATAGACCATTATTGCCATCGAGGTCATGATGCATATATGGTTATTCCAACTAACAAAAATTTATTTGAGCGCAAATGCTTTTGTCCACCTAGCTACTATGGCAATCGTTGTCAGTATCAAAGCGATCGCGTTAGTCTCACTTTTAGAATTCAGTTCTCTGTTAATCATCGAGATGGCTTTATTATTTTAATTACTTTGATAGATAAGAAACATAACATCAATTCATTTCATATCCATAAACATCGGCCAGTTAAAGATTGTGATATGAAATTTAATTATTATCTGCTTTATTCAACGCCAAAGAAGGACATAGAAAATAATTATTCTATTCATATTGATCTACTCAAAGAAGAAGACTCGTCATATTATGCTAGTTGGCATCTACCAATTCATCATTCTTATCTTCCTGTCAGTCGAATTGCTGCACTTCTTAGGACTCCTCATGAACGTGTTCTACCCAAGAAAAATAGTCATTGCAACTTTCAATGTCAACACGGTCAATGTATAAAATATAGCAATGCGGATAAGTATTTTTGTCAATGTCAACCTGGTTGGTATGGTTTGTTGTGCGAGATAAAACAACATTGTGATTGTTCCTTTGATTCTCTTTGCATGGGTCGTGTAAATGGTCGATCAATATGTATCTGTCCGACTCATAAATTTGGACCTCGATGTCTTTTTGATAGTCCTTGTCGGAGATATGGATGTGAGAATGGTGGTACGTGTATACCTGAAACGAACCACAAACATGGTCAACTCAGATACAGTTATCAATGCATCTGTACGAATGAATTTGAGGGAAAGCTGTGTGAGGCTCGAAAAAGCACTGTTTCAGTCCGATTTGTTGGAGTTCAAATATATTCGTTCATGATTATTCATATCCTCTCGACCTTCACTCTTGAATCTCATACACAACTCACTACATTTCAAAAACTAAGCATAAAAAGTAATACAGCAGATATATTAATATCTTCTGATATCAATGTCAACCTCATTTTCGTCCAATTTGATAGAAAATATTATCTTGTTGTTATTAGAGATAGTACAACAAGATTATCAAAAATTTCAACCGTTGTCTCTAACAAACAGCAATGTCATAATGTTAGTAATCTATTCAATTCGATCATTAATCAGATGCACCCATTGAAACGTCTGAAACAGTACCCACGATTATGTCATGAACAAACAGATCTTGTTTGTTTTCATGATGAAAAACTCATGTGTTTGTGCACAACGAATCGATTTTCAAATTGTTTTAAATTCAATTTTAAAAGGGATGCTACTTGCCAAAATGGAAATCCATGCGAAAAAGAAGGACGCTGTCTCGAAGATCGTCCCAACTGTCCTTCACTCATGGAATGTATCTGTTCAGAATGTTATTATGGAACTCGATGTCAATTTTCTACCGTTGGTTTAGGTGTTTCTCTCGATGCTATGCTTGGTTATGAAATTCTACCAATGAAATCTCTTTTTCAACAGCCCACAACTGTGAAGGTTAGCGCAATAATTACAGTGTCTATGTTTGTATTCGGACTTGTTAGTAATATAATGTCAATAATTGCATTTCAACATAATCAATCTCATGAAATTGGATGTACTAAATATTTACTAATGTTATCTATCACATCTCTTTTAACAATAATTATGTTCACACTAAAATTTTGGTTTTTTCTTTTAATTCAAATGTCGATTATTACTGATGCAATATTTTTATATGTCAACTGTCTATTAATGGAAGTGCTCACCAAAATATGTCTTAGTGCGACTAATTGGTTAGGTGCCTGTGTAGCAATTGAACGTACTGTTAGTGTTATTCAACAAATCAAGTTTAATAGAAAAAAAAGTAATCAGGTGGCAACTAAAGTTGTATTTGCTCTTATATTTTGTGTAGTGTTAACTCATATATCAGATCCGATTTATCGCGTACTAATTAACGATGAAGATGAACAACGTAAATGGTGTATCGTTCGATATCCTTTATCAGTTGAAAGGTTTAATTCAATCAATCTATTCCTTCATTTTGTCGTTCCATTTGTTGTCAATGGTATTTCAGCAATGATCATCATCATAATAAGGGCTCGCATACGCTTCGCTGCTAAGAAACAAAAATCATATTTACAATATTTACTCGAAGAAGTTCATCAATTGGGACATCTTCTCATTTCTCCTTCTATCCTGGTTTTACTTTCTGTACCACGTTTAATACTTGCTTTTTTACCTGGTTGTATGAAAACAACTGAAGATCTGTGGATTTATCTTGCTGGCTACTTTGTTTCTTTTGTTCCTGCTTTACTTACCTTTCCGATTTTTGTTTTACCTTCTTATCTATATAGAAAAGAATTCATTAATCGTCTAAAATCTCTACTCACGAAAATTACTGGACTATGTCGTCGTCACTAATGATCACAATAATTTATAGACTAATTCAAAAGTGTTATTGATATATGTACGAGAGTGAGGGTGTAGATTTGAATGGAAGTATTGTTTTTTACTCACATCCTCACTCTCATCATTCGTGAAGAAGAGTACAGTTTTAATAAAAGATGAACAAGAATTGGCGATAGTTGGTGTGAAGCAGAAGATTTCGATGCTATTTCTGTGGCCAGAAATGAATGTTACACTGACAACACAAAGCAAACTCGTATTTTTATTATTTAACACTTAGTCAGTCGTTTAAGGTTGGGATATGCGATGTCGAATAATTGAACGCTGACAAACACTGATGTCCTTTGCATCACCGACCACTGATGCACTGGTACTCTCAGTATCATTAATGATGTCAGAGACACTAATTTCACTGACGCATTAATGCTGATGTTCATTGCTTGTAGTTCGTAAGTAGAACATTGGAATACGTTGGATAGTTTAATTGGTCGAGAGACTAAATCAGTTGTACGGTTTATCGAATGTATTTACTGTATTTTTTGTTACAGACGACTCGACTAAATGTCACAATTCTATGACAGAATTAGCAAAATTTTATTTCTTATGATTATCTGATAAACGATGCGTATTCTATCAACTGTTTTCTGTCATTTTGTTCTTGTTTCTTTTTCTTTCATTACTATGAACATTTTCTATCCATTCTAATCATGCCCTGCTATATAATATAGCAATCAATGGCAAGATGTCAGTGATCACTGAGGAACAGTAAAACACTGACGGTGAACTATTGGTGTACACTGGTCGTCAGTATCGGTGCAACAGTGTCAATTTTTTCAGTATTGTCACGTGACACCGCACATTCCTACAGTTCAAGGACAGTATTAAACGAAATTTGTTGGGTATATGATGAATAACATAATTGAGTATTAATTAACAGAGGTATAAACAACAAAACAAGCACAAAAATAAGATGCATTACTGTATGCTGCGAAGAGTATTCTATTATACTAAAAAACGCATTCCTTTCTTCGATCTTCATGCTTCTCAAAGCATTATCTTTGATATCTTCATGAAATAACATGACGTTTCTCTTATACTGTTCGATAGCATTCAATAACGCAGTTTTTCTTCATATTATAATGTAAAAATTTCAATAAACTTTCATGATCATGCATATAGACCGGAACAATCGATTTGAGTCGAAAAAATATTAATCATTGACGTGGCTCTATTAGTTTTACATCTTCAATATGATCTTTAAATCTATTTTAAAGACGTGATTTTTCATATTCCTCGTGCTCTACCAGTCTTCCTTGTTATTCGAAAGACAACAAATGATGATCATATCACATTGTAATATATTTTTTCATTTGAAAACGAATATGACAGTATCATATTTGTAATCACAATCAAATTTTAATGTCAATACTCACAAGCTGTTTCTATATTTATGAATCAATAAAAATGATTATATTATCTGTGACAATCAACTTTATTGATGTATGATTTAGTGTTCATTGACGATTTGATTTTTATTAAACATGTCACCAGATAAATCTCTAATTCTGACATATTTAATCTAAACGATCAAATGTAACTTTTTTTAAAAATATTATAAAAGATAAGAGTTCGCGATTACGAGAACAACATATACTTAGGTATTCTTGAAAAACGTACATTTGAATCTCATATCAAATTATATTCACCTATATCCATCCACCTTCTCAGTATATGCTAGTCGATTCTATCTATTCATTCATTATTGAAAATACTCAAGATGATATCAGTTGTGCTTTGAGAAGAATTTACCTCATTTTTAGATTGTTATGATATTATATGAAAATATCGAGAATAAATTGTTTTATTTTTCTAGCAATGATTTTAATATATCCTTTCTCTTCTATTTTTTACATCTTATTACTTACTTTTATCACTGGTTATTATTCTCATCTTTATTATACAAACTACTCTGTATTAAATCATCCTAACGATCATCATTGTATATATCATTATATTAGTACCGAAAATGAGAAAGGTCGTCATCTCGTACCGTATTGTATTCGAATGGACAATAAAGTTCAAGGTAGTAAAAAATGTTATGGAAAGAAATATACCTTCGATAAACTTCGTCAAATGAATATTACTGGAGATAAATTATTTCAATGGCTTGCTCCAATTGATCTAATTAATGATTATGAATTATTTTTAACTGAATATGAATCAAAATATGGATTAAACGAATACTGCAATTGCTCATCGGAAGCATCGTTCGGAATTTATTGTCAATATCAATTTGATATATCTAAACAGTTATCCATATTGTACTTTGATATCGTAATCAATAAGACATTTTCTAATAAATATAAACGACCATTTCAAACATTGAACATCAAAGAAGATCTAACATGTTATTCGCTATTTAATTGTACAAGTCTTACGGGTCTGTGTCTTGACTGGAGAGAAATATGCAATGGAAGATTCGACTGTACGAATGGCCAAGATGAAATAAATTGTTCGAATATTGAATTCAATGAATGTGATATACAGAATGAATATCGGTGTCGTAATGGTATGTGTATACCAAAAATATTTTCGTTCGATTTAACCATAGATTGTCTTGACTTCGATGATGAACAGGAGCAGCACGATAAAAGTGCTTTATGTTATTATCGTTCATCAGTTGATTGTGAAGAGCATCATTGTGGTCGATTGGGAGGCGATAGTTTCAGTTGCGGAGATGGCTCTTGCTCAGACAGTCTGTCATCGTGCAATACAGATCGAGATGATTTGCAACTTCGTCAATTGTTTGCATATGACGAAGATTTATACGGAAATAATTTAACTTTACGTTGCTTTAAATATATTTGGTGTAAATTGGAAATTCTTTGTTTGTTTCAATCATGTTCAGAACTTGGTCAACAAGAATATTGTAATAAGCTTCCTAAAAACGAATCGCTTCAATGTAACCTATTTGATACGGATAACAGTCAAAAAGGTTTCTTTTTTCCACCAACATCGTTTATTTTTTCATTCGTTCGCTTATATGTCAAGATAAGCTTTGAATCTCATTCTTTACATCAAGGTAATACTTTAGCTATATGTATTGACAAGTCAAAGCTGTGTGATATGTCAAGGTATCCCGTATTAGATACACAGATCACAGGTATAACATTCACATTTCAACAATACAATTGTGGTAGGTATGAACGATATCGAAATAACTATCGTATAAAGTTCATTGCCCAAGATCTAAAAGCACTTGTTGCTCGTTGTGCATTTCCTGATGCTTATCGAGAACATTTATTAATTTATCGAAATAAGTCGAGTTTTCTTTGTCAACACCATTTTAGTATTTCATCTCATCGCATTAATGATGATTTTGTTGATTGTGTACCATTTGGAATGGTGCATCATGATGAAGAAGTATGGGACATGTCTCGTTATACAACAACGGATAGGTATATTTGTACAGATATGAATATAACGATTCCTCGTCGTTTGGTAGCCGATGGTCAATATCATTGTGACTTCGACGAACTCTTTCCTGTTGTTTGTACCAATCAACTCGATTGTCGATTTTTACGCGATTTTAACTTTTCTCTAAATATACCTTTGGTTGAATTTCCTGCGTTATGTGATGGATATACAGCATATCAAATGAATAATATTAATGATACAGATGAAACAGATTGTGAGGATTGGCCATGTTTAAGTCGTGCTACACGATGTGATGGTACTTGGAATAGACCCAATGGATGTGATGAATTGGATTGTCCACTATCACTACCTTCGGCTTACATTGCTCAACGAGTGGGTAACTGTTCGAAAGATGAACACTATTGTCTTCAGTACAATAGTAGCTCTATCAAATGTTTATCAGTAACGAAAGCCAATGATCATATTATTGACTGTCTTTTTGCTTCGGATGAAAGATGGTGGAAAGGAAAACGGTTTTATAATGGTGACTCCGATAAGCCACCATCTTCTGTAGGCCTTCGATTACCTTGTACAGCTACTAAACCTACGATACCCATTCTTTCGGAACAAATTTGCAACTGTAAGAATGATTGTGGTACAGGAGCAGATGATGAATTAGTTTGTCCTTGGCAGTACCGTCGACATTGTTCATCATTTCATCTTAATACTTTCACCTGTAAGAATGGTACTCAGTTATCTATTACAGATCGATGTAATCAACATATTGACTGTGTCGAAGGAGAAGATGAGTGGGGATGTGATTTTAAAAATATAATATATCCCGCTCAAGTAAAAACATTCTCTCCTAGTGAACAATCATTTTCATCAATATCACGAGTTCCCATGAAACGACAAGCGACCAATTCTATCAATGACAATGCTTTATTCCATTGTCATCGAGGTATTCTAATTCGTGAACAAACTAATCTTAATTATTGTCTTTGTCCTCCAAGTTATTTTGGAAATCGTTGTGAATGGCAAAGTGAACGAATAACACTTTCGTTTGATAGTGAAATTTTGAGATCAGCAGTTGATTTGAATGTTATGTATCGATTAGTTTTTTACTTGGTTAACGAATATGAACGACGAGTACTGGATTTTGAAACATTACTCTACGCTCCATTTATTCATTCACCTTTTAAACATATTCTTTACTTAAGATATCCACGAGAATATCTCCTTCGATCACCTCAACATCGACAAATTGAACAGATTTCAGTGTACATCGATGCTTACATTGTCACACGTACATCAGTATATTATTCAATTTCTTGGTACTTTCCAGTGCTATTTCCTTTTTTACCTGCTAATCGTCTTGCGTTTCGTCTCGTTTTTCAAGAACCTCGTGACATAAACCGAATTAAATGTTCTCAACTTGACTGTAAGAATGGCGGTCTTTGTCAAACTTATATTAATACTGATGAAATATTCTGTCGTTGTCCTTTTAATTGGTCTGGTTTGACTTGTGAAGAACAAGCAAAACATGAAAATCTTTCATGTCACACACATGCACAACTTGCAAACTATTTAAATCATACCTTTTGTCTTTGTCCGTTAGGTCGCACAGGACGAAATTGTCATGTCAAATATGACACTTGCCCAGGTGTCTATTGTTACAACAATGGTACGTGTATTCCAGGTGATGATCGAACAAAGGAATATATCTGTCAATGTTCAAGAGAATATTTTGGTAATCATTGCCAATATCGTAATGCTCTTCTTCATTTATACATATCGGAACGAATAAAGTTTGCACCAATTTTAAACATTCTTATGCTTCATTTACCATCCAATGCTAAAAGCTATCTTTTGTATCGTAATGCATTTCTTTATAGAAATGTTCAACCAGATACACATTTCACTATAAGTGAAGAACATCAACGTTTTTTATCTATGTTTATATTTGCTCAAATAATTGATAGTCATGAATCATTTTATGGAACTTATTATTTATTACATTTCACAAATATAGCAAATTTAACTGAATCTAGTATATCTATTACACCGGAGAAACGATGTTATCATGTAAGTGAATATCTTAATAAACAAATAATAGATTTACCTTGGTTGAAAAGAGTAAAACTTTATCATAAATATTTCAAAGATGTTCAATGTTTTTATGATGAATTTTACATGTGTTTTATTGATAAACAACAATTACCGGAATGTTTTCATTTTAATCATGCTCATAGTAATTGTACATCTGATCGTCAATATTGTGAAAATAATGGAAGATGTTTTCGACATAAACATCAATACACTGGTGAACTTACATTTGCTTGTATATGTCCAAAATGTTTTTCTGGTTCATTTTGTCAATTGAATATGCATCAATTCTCATTTACATTTGATTCATTACTTGGAGAAACTATTATTACTGGCAATCACATCAGTGATCAACCGTTACTTATCAAATTTTCTCTAAGTTTTATTTCAATTATTTGTGCTATTGGATTTATTTCAAATCTCGCATCTTTTCTCACATTTATACAACGTGAATTACATCGAATAGGTACTGTATATTATCTTCTTATTCTATCAATCCTTTCACAAATAACTCTTTTTGTTTTTCTATTTCGTTTTCTTTATTCATTTATCAATTTAACATCATTGATTGGTGATTATAAACTTCTTTCAATTGCTTGTTCATTATTTGATTTTTTACTTTCACTTCTTGTTTCTACATGTGATTGGTTAACAGCATGTTTAACATGTGAACGAACAATAAGTGTTATTCAAGGTATTAAATTTAATCAACAACGTAGTATTCGTCTTGTTAAAATAATTAGTCCATCGATTTTTCTTATTCTTACTTTAACATCAATTCATCAATTATTTTCTCGTCATCTTATTACCGATCCTCGTAATGATGCTCGACAATGGTGTATAGTTAAATATCCATATCAATGGCTTCAAACATATGATATTATTATTAAATTTATACATTCTACAATTCCATTTTTGATCAATCTTATATCTGCAATAGTTTTATTTGTTATATGTGCTCGTAAAAAACAACGAATAAATAATAAAGAGAAATATTCAACTATATTTATTAAACAAGTTCGTCAACATAAACATCTTCTTTTTAGTCCACTCATTACTGTTGCTTTCAAGTTACCACTTCTTATAGTTCAAATTTCATTCAAATGTATTAGTGACAACCAACAATTACACGTATCTCTTATCGCTTATTTTATTTCAAATATTCCACTTGCAATGACATTCATCGTTTTCGTTTGGGTTTCACCATCGTATTATAAAGTTTTTGTGAGCAAACTAATAAGACGATTCATTTGACGTATTCAGAACAAAATCGAATATTCAATTGTATTACAAATTAAAATTATAATTAGTTTACATTTTTTTAGCTTGATTCAGTTTAATCGGCTCTAAAATCTTGAGGGTGTGGGTGGGTGTGGGTTTGGGTGTGGAGATAGTGTTAGGGTAAGGGTGTTGATTCATACAAGAAACACTCACTCACTCTCACCGTCAGCCTACATTCACACCCACACCCTTCAAATGATAAATAAAAAAAAATCTTTGAATAAAATTGAATTTATGCAGTTTTTTCAAACATCTTGTATTATGACGAATACTTATCATAAAAGGTATCATCAACTTGCGAATGTCACAAAAGTCTGTGGGTGTGGGATAAGTGATCACACCCACACCTACTTTGAAGATTCTGTTCATTGAGATTTATTGTGTTGAGAAAAATGTTTTATTAATTCATTGAAAAAGAATATTCTTATCAAAATATCAGATTTTCAGTGGCAAATGTTTGTGATATTCATATCTTTCACACATCTTCGACATTTGAGGGCGGATGTGAGGGTATTTTTAATATATATTCATTGTACCCGTTCACACCCGCAGCCAAAAAGGTGTAAGTACGGGCTGATACCTTTGAGGAATTAATTGAGTTGAATTTTCACGTATTACATTACTGTAGTCACACAGACACCCACACACATACTTCTCTCTGTTTGTTATATACGAGCGGTGTGAAAGAGATCGACTATTCATTTAATAAACTGTCATAAAGAAAATCATTTTTAATAAAAAAAAATGACAAGCTGATAGCGATGACTGCTTTTAATCACAAAAAAATTCAAAAGCATCTGTTAAGTATTTGCAGAATGTTAGTCAATACAGAGACAAACATAGAAACACAACTTGTTATATTTTAATAAAAATTTTTTTTGGTCACTTCTAATAATGATCCTGAAAGAAAAAGAAACTGAGTGCAGATGTACACTCTGATAAAGAGCTGCATGCACAGCCACTACTGTTCAATATAAAACTATAGAGAACTACTTTCTTCAGAGCTTATGTACATTTAAATCTATGATATGGCAGCGCTGCAAAGAAGAAAATTGGCGCTCATTTGTCAACAGTCATGATCAATCAATGAGTATTACCTTTATCTTGTCCGTCATCGATAATAATATTTGTTCAATCAAACGTTTTAATAACTTTTCTCTTTATCAAAAACGAGCAGGGCACGACAGATAGTCTACAATAAGATTTTATGCCAAGTCATTTGACTTTCACTCTCCGGGACTAATGGCACCTCTAGTAATGCTCTTCTTCTTTACGCTTTCGACCAGTTATAGTCTCAAGTGTATCAGACTAGAAAAACCAATAGAGTTAATACTCATGAACTACAACTCTAAAAAATTTACAAAAACAATTAGCGAACTTCCTACTAACATCCGTACTCGCTGTCGCGTTGAACTGTCCATTGATTATGAGATTGTGTTTTTGACTATTCGCTTCTCCAAGAGCCTTTCAACAAGCAATTTATCTGATCATAAACTTCAGCTCGATACATTCATATCTCCTAGTATAGAATTAGATATAAATCCGGCAAAGTACCTTGAATATGCGTGTTCCGAGCAAGACAACTGCGACAAACAATTCGTGATAAATCACATGGAATGGTTCGTTTTAGCAAAATACAGGACATTGGGAACAGCCATCGGCCTGTTACTCAAGGCCGTCGCAGACAAACCGGGTACGTCTTACAACAAATCCATTGTAAATTTTCCGAAAAATATAAAAATACTCTTCAGAATTAAGAACGAACCTCTGCACAAACTGTTGGTCTTCGCATTTTTTGTCAAAAAAGCAGCAGTTGTGTAAATTATCGTACAGCGCAAAAACCCCTTTGTATACCATTCACTAAACGAGGGTAGTCATTGAATAGAGAAATCCCTCCTAAAACTATTCAAGTTGGTATAATTTTTTGAAAATGCGTTGAGTGCGGAAGTTGTAGAGCCCGTCAAGTAGGGTCCGGTCACAAAAGCTTTTCGACCTAACCTGCTGTAGCTAAATATGAGTGTCAATTATACCTTGACTATCATCGGATCATCGCTGTGATTGCATGAGAAATATGCAGAATCTGCTAGTTGCCGAATACAAATAATTAGAAAAAAACATCCCGTATTTTTGAAATGACTATCGAACTCGGGTTAAAAAACTCCATTCCGAGTATTAGGATTATGATTAGATGCAGATTCGGGTCCTAAAAATGTTGGACGCGATGGGCTCCACCAAGGCGTATACTTTGTTTAGTTCCAACATCCGTCGTCAGTTTCGACTGTTAAGTTTTTAAGCGTTTAAACGCATTTTTCAGAATTTACGTTGATTGAGGCTTCGTCTTAGCTGCATACGATTTCGTTTAAATTTTCATGATCGCACTATATGTCCATTTGAGCATCTAGAGGCGTAAACAAAAAGTGTATTTTCTCTTTTTACTATGTGAAACATGGTTCACTCGCATATATTTAAAGCAAATGCAGCTAGCAAGACTAATATCATTATCTACTATAGACACTTTGGACAGTGTAGGCTTAATTTCATTGAATACAATGATACACTAATATCGATGGAACAAAATAATCTGCTGTATTTATTTTTTCAAACTATCAATAAGATCATTATAGCTGTAGTGTCCAAATTGCTTGTTGGCATTAGGCGTTACACCGTTCGATACCATTAGAAGAGATCTATAATGAGCATATGATCATAAAATAAAAGACCTCTCGCTGATCGATAATAGAACAAATACCTATAGTGAAAGTTCGAAGTAACGAATACAAGGAGATAGTTAATTCGGTTCGAGAACATAATATATTGATAAAAATACTACTAGATTGAACAAAAATCACGTTTTTGCTCATGTGCAAAGAGCGCTGCATATCTTCTAGTAACTTGTTTGGAAAAAACACCTCACAAAGTATAAGCATGATCGACAATTTACATGAGGTGTAAAGTAATCGTAATTATTTATTTTACTCTTTAATAATATATGATATGCGTAGGGATATGTTCTACTGAAATATATCGGACAGTTCATTCCAAAACAAATAACGAATCTGAATCAATGTGTTCTTCGGATTCGAAATCCAGCAATCGTATTCACATTAGCACCGTTGTTAATACTCTCACTCATGATGAGGAGCAATGGATCACATTCACGCACAAATGCGATGCGTGCAACGATCAAGAATTCCTTTCAAAAGTCCAGATATGTATCGATCAATACTACGATTTGTCATTAATGCGAAAGATTCTTGGCTATGCCAACCATTCAGATGAGCAAGAGGTGACTGACTGTGTTTACAACACGTTATCAACTTCTTCTAGTTCGAAACAACTTAATACCACACAGTGGCCATTAACATCTGTTACGATCAAGAACGGGTCATCATCACCGTCGTCAAACATCGTCTCAGAAACGAACACTATTAAGAATCAAGCTGGGACCGTGATGAGAGATGGTGTTCATATCCTATTTTCGTCACTTATCATATTTTATATATTTCATCTGTGGTAATCAATAAATAAACTTATGTGACAAAGTATATAAGTCCTCATCGCCTCATTATTTTCGAATTGTTTTGGATGTATGATGGTGAAAAATGGTCATAAACATGAAGTGATACTAGTTTAATAATGGAGCTGTTTGAACTATTTAAACAGAACAAACTTGTCAGTTGAAAATTCAAGTAATTTAACATTTGAAGAGTGATATGAATAATTTTCTATACTTACATGATAATCCAGTCATAGATTTGTCATATCCTCGAATAGGAATGTCATATTAGTATTTTCTAATATTAATAATACAACAACACTCCTACTTCTGATTTATATACTCAAGGTGCAAGACGAACGCTTTAATTTTTTTAATATTTTGACAACATTTCTGATGAAGTATTTGACTTGATCAGACTGTTGGCAGAGCAAGTTCTTGAGGTTTGGGTGTGGATGGATGAAGATAACAACGACACCTACACCTTCAACTATGGTGTTGTATCAATGCTTTTTTATGTGGAAAATAATGTATCAATGAAATGAAATGGAAAGATGAAAATAAACAGAAAAGTGTTTTCGTTTCACTAGATATTTTTTTTCTATTCATTAAAGGTTAGATATTAAGGAAAAATAGAACTAAAACATTGGCAATCATTTCACTTTTTCAGAATACAAAATCGTATAATTCTACTTATACAGATCATTTATAGCGTTGCTAGGTTACCGAAGAATTGTTGGCAGGTGATCACGTTCAAATTCTCTCAAGAACGTGGTCAACATGAAGAAAACGAGCAGCGATATAATTTTGTTGTATTATTCAAATACATCATTAGAAAGTGAATGCCGAATAATTATTTTTCAAAATCCGAGGAGGCAACCTGAATACCAAATTATTGCTTTTCTTAAAATTATCTACCTCTTCAAATTACATTGAAATAAACTCGTAATCTTGTTCTCTGATGATACAATCAATTAACAAAGTTTCTGTTCAGAAGTGTCCGATCTTTCATACCATTCGTATTTGGAAGCTGAAACTTGGATCATCGGCAGAGAATGACACGCTGATCTTTTCATTCTTTTGATACGAACTCGCTGGATGTTTCGTTAAAGAGCTAGAATCTAATTACTAAACTGTCACCAGGTGTCAGAATTAGAAGAACGAAGATTTCTGTTTGTTTAATTGTACAGCTCTCGCTCTCACCTTCAAAATGTTGTCCTTCCGAAAAAACAACAAACAGTTTCTTTGGCAATTTGAAAATATTTTTTTGATGTTGATTTAACTATACGTCACTCATGTGATTTCATATTTGCTGCGTCAGTAAGGCAGAGTTTGATTCTGCGGAATGAATATTTTACCGAAGTTAATGACCATAATTTATTAGACAATCGAAATGTATGATCAGTTTAAATATTCGCAATGATAGATGAAAAGAGTCTTTCTTCCTTATTATGCATCTTTACTGAATATCGTCTAATGATCAAACTAGTTTATTTATCTAATTAAGAGAGATTCAATATTAATGTCTGTTGATAAACAATAAGAAGTTGATTATAAAAAATTGCCTGCACCACCGCCGAATGTTTGAGATAATTTATATACTATCGCACATAATCCCATTAAATCAACAAAATCAAGACAACCATTTTGATTTTTATCCACTAATAGAAATAATCCTTTAGTCAAATCTAAAGAAAATGCCATTATTCACAATATATATACATATTGAATTTCTTATCATACTTACATGGTGATACAAAACCAAGACCCATTTCTTGAAAATACGTTTGAATATCTTCAGTTGTAATTTTTCCATCCCCATTTTTGTCAAATGATTTATATAAGTCATACATCTTTTTAGCATTGCTAATTGTTGAACCTAAATCAATTGTAATCAGAACCTGGCAAGTTTTTCGAATTCTTCTAACCTACCAAATTCACCGAGAAAACCACCGTTATCACTCTGTTCATCTTGATGACCATCTGAAAATAGCTTATAAGTATTATATCCTGCTTGAATCATTGCTAATGAGTCATTTTCATCTTTGTTTCCAGAAAACTAAATAGAGCATAATTAGATTAGAATAGAGACAACTTGATTCGATCTACCAAGCCGAAAACTGATTCACCCAAGGACATAAAATGTGAAGATTGACGGATTCGTTCTGCTTCTTGACTTGTTTGATTTCGAAATCCATTGATAAAGTCATCCGCATTATTAATACCTACTGTTTCAAGCATACTGAACAATGTTCCATTCTCTAAGTGTTCACGACCGAAATTCAACAAATCTGTCAGCATGTTCGATTAAATCTAAAGAAATCTCAACATTAGCTTGTTAAAATCCTCTGTATTCTAGACATCTATTCAAACCCACAGCGTATGCGTGAGAGAGAAAAAATGAATAAGACCTTTAAGTAAAGAAAGAATCGATTTTTCTAACGCGTTGAAATAAAATCATTCTCCTTTTGAAACCATACACTTTTTTCTTAACTTGCGTTCTTCTTCTTAAATGCGTTACGTGTATGTGTATGTTTCTCAAGCATCACAACGTGGGTGAGGGTAGATTCAATAAAATCAAATTGAGCTATATACTTAAGATATAAATGAATTTGCTCATTTGAACTCTTGCTTTTCAGCAATCGATATAATTAGATAAAAATAACTGTTGAATTAATGTGTTCTATAGAATAATAGAAGAAATATATGCACATGTTTGATTTGCCAGCGCGTTTTGTGTTGTTTACAAAATCATACAACACTCATCAGGGTTCTGCATATATATAAATCGAAAAAGAGAAAAGAACACAGAAGTGTTGTACTGACGTAGAAATCGATCAAATCATAGGTTGACCATATTGATGAAATCAACATGAATTTCTGATGAAAACTACATAACTTGATATTATTTGATTAAGTTGCATAATTTTAACAATTAATTGTTCAGTAAACGAACATCGATCTATAATATTGAATTAATCTAATTGAAAAAGATTCAGTAGATATGCTTGGAAGTAATTTATTTTATATACATAGAAAATAACCTAATTGGACAAAGAACGTCTTTTTTTCACTATTAGAAGTGTGATAAAAATAATTTGTGTTTCTACAACAAAAACAAAAATAATATTTTAATCCTAAGTAAAGTATTGAGATAAAATAATGTCGATTAAATGATGACAGTACCAATATTGAAATATCAGTTAATGATTCTAATATGTTTAGATGAAGAAATATTAAAACTCAACATTTATGACTGATCTGTTTAAAATTCTTGTAGATATAAATTATTATTTGTATGAGAATTCAGATTTATTTCTGATAGAAATTGTCATTATGTCTAGATGTTTTGAAAAAACTAGGGTGTGGATATACTGCATATCTTACTCACATTCACACTTTGACGAATAGTTTCATACAGTGCACTATTTAAAGTAAGACTTTCATATGCTATTTGAATTGTAACTGCATTTTTATCATATTCATGTAATAAGAATATATCACTTCCAATACTTTCTGATGTTGGTAATGTAACATATAATTGTAATTACATATTATAAATATTACTATCACCTAAATTTTTAGTGAATTCTTCGATGGATAGATTTGTAGATTTCAATTGTTGAATTTGCTCGAAACTACGTTTTAATATATCTTATAACAACAGATTTAAGAGAAATATGATCAGTAATGGAAATAAATGGAGTAAACTTTGCAGAAGATGTCATAATCCAAGCAATATTAAGTAAAATACGTTCATATTTTCATGCCATGTAGAAATAGATGTTCGGGATATTTTAGCGTTAATAGCTCATGGAGCGAGTGAAAGTGAATCGAATATATCTTGTTTTAATTGACCTCTAACTGATCTACTAATTAAGTGTATTTGACCAGCATTTACATAATTAGTAACACTTCAAATAACAGTCAAAGTAGAAAATATAACGACGACATGAAGCAAAATATCTTGCAAACAAAAAATAGAATGGCGTATTGTTTCTTTACAATAAGTATAAATGAAATATAGATGCATAGATAAAGTAATAAAAAGAATATTATAAAACTAAGCTTTGGCATATCATATAATAGAATATAAAGTTAAAATTGAAACGAATCAATAGCATCAGTAATTAAAAAATATGTCGTATATATATTTTTTTAGATGATGAATTTTAAAGGTTATGAATTATAATGTCTAGCAAAAGTGGTTTTAAATTCTTCTATGAAATCAATATTTAGCTATACATAAAACACTAATAATCAGCTTTACGTTGTTGATAGTGTTTGTGTATATGTGATAGTTAGAATGCAAATGTCGATATTATTTATCCACACCCACAAAATGAATTTTTTTCTATTGAAGTACATGTAATATTCAATAAATATTATCTAATCATTCAGTAGTAGACAAAAGAATCTTTTGACCTCTATATGACTTCTTGACCTTTCTTTCTAGCATAACACCTATGCCCGAACGACGGACATTGTTTGCAATATATATATATATATATATATATATATATATACATACGTATGCAAGTTTCATGTATGAACAGCACGAGTTGTAGTCTGAGAAGATTGATATCTTACGTAGCATCATGTGTGCTGAGAAAAAATCTGTTTATGTCATTTCTGATCAATTTATAACAATGACAGAGGAATCTGTAACAACAGACGTAAGTATTTATCAAACATATCTGACCTTAACAGTTAATTTAAAGAACAGCTGTCTATAAGATGAATCTTTTACGTAAAACAACATGAAAAATAAAAATGCGTCGATCTTTTAGAGAACCGTCATTAAAGTCGGATATCGACATTTACCTATCATGTGCATCACAATATGTTTGATGGGCAGCATGCCTATCTTTGATTGCATTTACAATTTCTATGTAAGTTTCCTATAGGTTTCTATGAAAAATAAAATTCTCTATATATTCACATAACGTATCTTTAGACTATGAAAGATATTGGCAAAAGTTTCGGAGAACTCGTTACGATATTCCTTATCAATTCATTCAGTATTCTTTGTTTTGGTTGGCCTAAAGATGAATCATTCGATCCAGCATCAGCGGGAACAAATAGGGTAAGTGTATTATTTATTGAAATTAAAATGTAAATTGTGTGATTTGTCAACTAGATAAGGTTTATCAAAACCAATTATGATTGGTGTATAGCTTCGATGCCATTTGTATTTGCTGCTTGTTTGCTTTATCCTTGTTTTAGTGACCTTGTCACAGTATGTTTTCTTTTTTGACATATGGACTGAAATATAATTTGTTTCTTTGTCATAAATAGTTCACTTGCGCCGCCAATCAAATTTATTTTATTTGTTTGGCAATTTTTGCAATCATAGTTGGTATTTTCATTTGTTTTTGGTTGTATTATGATACAAATATTGTGGGTTATGATTCTATGATAAATATTAAAAAACAAGTGAGTTATTTATTATCTTAGTTCTTCTTCATTAACTAGCAGAAAATATTTTAGAGAATTCCTTTCAAATGGTTATCATTATGGATGTATAATTTGAAACATATGTGGATGAAGAATTATGATGCGAATATTATCATAGTCGAGAATGATTGACTGATATATAATTTTTTTTGTAAATATAAATTTGAAGAAGTAACGATTCTATCGACTATCGTTCCTGTTTATGAATCTCTTATTCTGTGAAGTTTATTGTAAACACGTAGAAACGACATATTGAATTAAACGGAAAAGTTAAAACGAACTAAACTTTGTAGGTGATTCTGAGATATGGCAAAGCTTGACCAAAACAATAGACAACTGTTTCAACTTTATACATTTATCAATAGGTTTCAACTATGAGAAAATCTTTTGTTAATAAGATTTATATATTAATCAGTAAGCCAGATAATCTTGAAAAATTAAGACATTTTGTTGTCTTTTGGATGTAAAGATGGAATAGTTTATTGATAAATAATTAAAATAAACTCCTAAAAAGAAATGTGGTTTACTAATCTTTAAATGCAAATATTTTAAATTCATATGATTTTAAATCAATACTAAATTCATTATTATCAATTTGTATTTCCGATTGACTAATAAGTTCTTGCCATCGACCATTCTTTGGCCAATTATTGATACAATATGCTTGTTGATCTTTTAATGAAAGATTAAACAATGCAACAATTGATTCATTGCTTTCATTACACCATCGATGATAAGCAACAATATACGTATCAGAATCATGACAAAGAAAATTAACATTATCAGATTTAATAGCTGATGATGATTTTCTAATTGCAATAAGTTTCCGATAAAGTTCAAAGAGAGAACGTTGTGATGTTTTAGTCAGAAGAGACCAATTAATTTTTCTTGTCCGATCTTTATCACCTACAAATATCAAAATATAAAAGAATATTGTCGATTGAGATCTTACCACGAATTTTATCTTCACACCATTCTTCTCCCATCCATATTAGAGGTAAACCTACAGTTATCATTAACCAAGCAATTGCTATTTTAATACGTTTAATTGCTTCGTCTTCAAAGTAATTTATTTGATGAAGTAAATATAAAAAACTTTCAGTATGATGACATGAACAAAAATTAACAACTAATTTTGCATAACGATATTTATCTTCATAAGCTGGATCACCTGCTTGAAGAAATCTATCAAAAAAAATATTATTTCCAGAAAATTCAAACAAATTTTGAAATGAAAGAACAAAATTGCGCCAAACGCCATCTACCTACAAAGAAAAAATAATCGATATATTATTCATTATAACAACAACCAATCTTTCATATACACAATATTTTATGTAAATAACTTACTGGTCCATATGGCTTAAAAAGGGTCCCTATTCCTGGAATATATTCAGCTACTGTATAAAATGGTGATCGAAGAGAATGAGAAATCATATCAAAATGTTGTAATACATCAAAATTATCCATATTTTTTAATAGTTCAGAACTATCAATTTGTTTAGCTGTACAAAATCTAGAAATTATTTATTGTTAATATTTACAATCTTATAATATAAGTTCTTACCTTAAACCATCAATATGATATTCTTCAATCTAAAATTTAATAACATCTTCAATAAATTTCATAGCTGGTTTTATATTTCCATGTTGTTCATCTTGAAAATTATGATTAAATTCAGGTCCCCAAACTTCTTCAGGATGCTCCGGATAATAATGACAAGCGTCATAATACCAATATTTTGGATCAATTTTATTTAAAGGACATTCGGTATGAGAATGATTAATAACAGTATCCATCATAACACGTATACCACGTGAATGACATTCATCAATAAAAGATTTTAAATCTTCTGATGAACCATAAGATGATTCAACAGAGAAATAATGTCGTATTGTATAACCCCAATCATGATCAAGAAGAAAACCTTGAATAGGCATTAATTGAATACAATTAATACCTAACTCATATGCCAGATAATCTAATTTCGTTATTGCCGAACGAAATGTACCTGAGAAGAAATATTGAATTTTTTTTTAAAGAATTTTTTCTTTCTTATCAAGGTTTACCTTCTTCAGTAAAATCAGCAATAAAAATTTCATATATAATTAAATCTCGATTTTCAGGTAAACTCTTTCCATCATATTTCCATATATATTCATTTCCATTTACTTTTTTGCCATTCTTAATCATTAAAATTGCACCTTTTTCATCATCTTCAACTCTTGTTGCATATGGATCAATAATATCAATCATTTGATTTGGTTCACTTCGAGATAATATACGAAATTTATATGTATATTCACCATCATCAAGATCAATTTTCGTGGAAAATTCACCAGTTATATTGTCTTTAAACATTTCAATATCTTGCCATGAATTGAATGAACCAGTAAGAAAGGCACGTTCAATACGTGGTGCAAATAAACGAAATTCAATAGATGCAGACATTTCGTTTATAATATTATGTAAAGAAAAAAGAGTGAGGAAAGACGTATGATGAAACGATTATTATTAGAACATATAGTAAGATATGATCACGTACTCATTAAAGGTGAAGAAAAAAAATATATTGTTTGTTATTACATACTATTGGCTCTTCTATTGCACACGTTTACACCAACAGAATAATTATTTGATGAGAGTAAAATGATCAGGTGGTGATATAGAGTCTAATTGAGGATAAGATTTATTATATAAAAACGAATAATATCAAGAAAATAAAATGTGTATTATAATGATTTACTAAACATATATCATTATGAAATGAAAATTCAATATGCAGATCTTTTTTCGACATATATAGAATAAACAATGTTTAATTAAAACAATTTTCGTTTTAAAATATTAATAAACGATTTAACTCAAAGTTTTTAATCATGGTTATATCTATAACAATTTACTTCGTATCAATATCTTTGATATCAATAGTTGCGTCACGAAAAATTTCATTTAAAGATTAAATGATAAAAACTATAATTTTATTTCGAAAATATAATATATCATTTATTTTCGTCGACTGCATGAACTAATAGTGTAGATTGACTGTTTCATTTCCTTTCAATTTAGTTTTTTGATCAGAAAAGACATAGTATTTGAGCCAAAGACTAATTTTATCAGCCTACTTTTTCTGTATTTATTAAATTTCAAGAGTGCACTTGATGATTATCTCTTTCCATATATATATATATATCATTTATACGAAATTAATTTTCTACGAAATAGAAAAGATGCAATCAACCATCACATTCATCATGTTAGTTATTATGGCTTTGCTGTCGACTTGGGTAAAATTATTTGGTCACTTCACACATGGAGTGATGATCAAGCAATTAAAATATGCAATATTGACTGTACGGGAAACTTGAAAGGACGTGTTCACAAATTAGAATGGGTTTGGGACGGAAAATTTCAATGTGAAGCACGAGCTCCAGGTATTGTGGGTGAAGGACGAGGAAAAGAAAGTCGATAAGAAGCAATGGAAGAAGCTATAAAAGGACGTATTTTAGCGGCTATTGAAGCTGGTTCACTTCAGGCTGAAGATTTCAAATGCTAACATAACCAACCAAAATTGACTCTAACTCTGATATTATTATCAAGTTTTTGCTCATAAAAAATAAACTATTCTCGAATGCAAAACCATGGGTTTGGGTGTGGCTGTGAGCTACGAGAGATATTTTGCCCACACCCTCGACTGACATCTATTTGAATTAATTAAAAGATGACGAATCATCGCTGTATTGTCACAAGTAGAACAACGAACTGTATGGACGAGTTTAGATAAATGATGAAAGAAAAGATATGCATTTGATGAGATTTTTTTTGTATAGTAGTCCACAACAAAAGAAGAGCAAATAAAAAGGCATACACATTACAAAAAGGTAGATTTAACTCTAACATATTTCGATATGGAGTCATGTCTTATTTTACCATCGCCACCAACTGGCAAATGTCGTCAAATTGAATTAGCTGGTATTGATCTATGGATTATTCCACGTATTGATAATGTGTTTGTATATCCTGCTGATTTGAATATTAATCGATTGAAACAAGCACTTGGTCGTACTCTTTCTTTATGGCCTCTAGTTGCTGGACGTTTCCTTTTACTCAATGATAAACAATATGTTATTGAAATGTCCGACAATGGTATTCCATTTTCATTGGTGGAAAATAATGAACTAGTTCAATGGCCTATCAATTTAAATGTCCTGTTAGATAGTGCAGAAGGTCGACTACAAATGTTTGTCGATGAAGCATCAACTAATAAACTACATTGTGGTTCTGCAGATGAACCACTTTTTCGTTTAAAAATGACTCATCTCGTTCAAAGTGGAGAATGGATAATGGGTATTAGTTGGGTACATGTTCTTGGTGATGCTTATGCTTGTTTAACATTTTTAAATACACTATCACGTTTATATCAACAACTTGAACCATTAGAACCATTACCTATTTTTGAACGTCGATTATGGAATAGAGAAAATGCTGATCAATCTCTTTTACCATTTATGAGACATTTAACTAATGCATTATCACTTGAACAAAGTGTTGAAAGAAGTGTAAACGAACAAATTACACATGATCAAATAAATATACATTTTTCTGGTGAACAACTCGTTCGACTTCATAATATCGCTGACAATAGCATGTTTACTATTCAAGATGTGATGACTTCTTATATTATTCTTACTTTAAATACTCATTGTTTTGATAAAGATGACGAACAATTTATTCAACATACAAATATGATTGTCAATTTTCGTAATGTATCGGATTCAATTGCTCCTTCTAATCTCATAGCTAATTGTACTTTACGAATGTTGTCAGAAAATTTCGATGATCCCTATTCTCTTTCAAGTATTGCAAAATCAATTCGTCGTTCGGTGATTCGATCGCGAGATCCATCATTTCTTGAATCGATACTTGCTACTGCAGATGGACTAATGCGTGATCTAGCTCATGATAATCGAGAAGTGAACACAGATCATTTTCCACATGGTATTATTATCAATTCAAATTATCGATATGATTGGGCAGATTTAGTCGATTTTGGATACGTAAACAAATGTCGGTTTTATACAGATGGAACAGCACCATTATTTCTACGTGTATTTCATCTAAATCCAATCTTTGATGGTAATCAATGGATAGAAAGAGATCGACGCGGTGCAGAAGTTACTTTTCGTATTGAAAAAACAATCAAACAAAAGTTTATCGATGCATGGCAACGAGATATCAATGATAATTTTGCACATGTAAAACAATAATGAAAATTTTGTTCCTTTATTCTTCTTATATTCATCATCTAAATCAATAAACATATCATCTAATTGTTCTTTCATACTAATTTTGTTTCTCCTGTTGCTGCACATCGATGTCCTTCTAAACTTAACGTCGATCTTGCTTGTTGTTTTCGTAATATTGCATTTATTTGTCCATATTTGGTTGATCGTCGTCGTACTAATTCATCACCAGATAGTGTAAATGCACGTACACGTCTTGTATCACTATTAAAAGCAACTTGTTTCAAAGGTATTGATCGTCTTACTATCCGATTGAATAGAATTTGTTTAAATTTATTTTCTTCTTTTTGTTGTTAACGAACTGATTTGTCCCATAAAGATTTTAATTTTTGACTAATATCATCAGTGTTAACATTGATTTTCATTGGTTTTACTCGAATTTCTACAGTAGGATTTTGTGTTAAACTAATTGCAGTTGTTTTGGTTAAAATTTTTTTCTGAAATTCTTTAAGATTAACTCCATTTTTTCCAATAAAACGACTAATCACAGCTGCTGACTTCGTCATAAGTTTGAGGGTAAAGGGAACCAGTTTTTTCTCTATAACCTTCTCTTGACAATGTTTATTCTGAATATGTTCATCTAATACTTTTTTACTAATAAATGCTTTAAGTCGTGAACATCCAGAAATTGGACACATTAAAACACGATGTCTGATATTAATTGCTTCATCTTCACTTCCATCTGTATGTTGAATTATATCAAAATCAAATAATTCACCAAGAAATGTTAAATCTTCTTTAATAACATAACGTTTGGCATTCGATTTTAAACTAAAAACATGGAATTTTAGACGTCGATTAGTAATTTCAACATCTGTTTGAGTCTGGATATAATCATAATTTGTTTCTTTATTGAATTCAGTAATATAACCAGATGAAGAAACCATTCGATTGTCGCAATGATATCAACACAGTGACATAAAACAACAAAAAATTGCTTTCTTTTATATAGCTTGTATTCTTGCACAACAATCGAGTCAAAACAAGATAATAAAAAATTACATTTTTCTCATCAAGAATGATGCAATCACACGTAGCCTATCAGTCATGTATCATTGAAAAATATTTCTCGATAAGTATTTTTCACAAAAAAATGAATGTTTTATCAATGTTAATATTATTCGGTACTTTATATCAATTTCATTTTTTTGATAAATTTCTTTTAATTGTTGAGATAATTTATTCAAGTTATTCTCAATAACTGTTTCTCGACATTCTTGTGCTGTTTGTTTAATTTTGTCGATTGAATTTATTTCCCATTGATTGATTTGTTTAATTAAAGAAGAATTTTGTGGATTTTCTTTTTTTTTTAAATAAGTTTTTGTTGATATTGGTCATGGTCATCTATAATTTTATCTAATTGTTTATTCATTATTTGTCGATGTTCTATTAAATATGAAAAACAATAATATGTGCATTTTTCTTTGATATTATTACAGGAAATACATTGTGTTTCACTGCGTACCATCGCCATGTGTTAGATACTTTGTAAAAGGAATGAATGTTTTTTTCTCGTTTTACGTATATATAGAATAGCATGTATTATAGTCAAACAGAGAACAGTTCAAGGTAAAAGAATAAATAAGAGGAATTTTGTCAATACATTTTTTGGTTATTGAGGAGGCTACAATAGAAAATAATTTCATATCCATTCACGTGGAATTAAAAGTGAAAATTCATCATAGAAGTTAGTTAATAGAAATTTTATTTAAGGTATTGTTTGTGTTGATTTGAAAAAGTCAACAATTTTATTACAGAAATACTGAATAGATGTCGTATATAACTAAATAATATGAACTTATTCAACTTCTTTTTCATTTCGCATAAATCTAACATCATTGATGGATGTCGATACAAGTGTGATATCTCATGAATGTGTGAATATTAAACATAATGCTCTAATACACTTATTCATCTATATCAAGATCGTTGTGCTGAAAAACAAATATCTTAAAGGTGTGGGTGTGTACCGTCTCTCAATCCACATCCACATTCGTATCCTTATGATAAACTTACCATTGATGACTGAGTTAATAAAAAGCAACAATTTAGAGTTAGTGTATAGCATTTGAATGTACACGAAACAAAATATCTTGAAAATTGTTTGTTCCTCTATTGAGTACTTTGCCAAAAGATTTCTATAGATGTTGTGTACTTTGATTTTTCAATATTAGTTATTACTGCAGTACTATATACCCTCATTTATGGACTGGAATGAGCTTAAGTCTTTTATTGATTATACTCAGATCTTTATTTCGTGAATGTTCATGACAAATCTTTAATAGACCGGATAATGAGTAAAAAGAAACGTTCTTCGAACACATAAGCAGAATGGTGCATTAGAAATGGAGCTTAGCATATTTGTGTTGAGTAAGACTATCTAAACTTTGAAAAGTTCGATGGCATCTGTTGCATTGATGCAGAAAATGATTTTCATCTTCTTGGTGTTCATTTAGAAATTTTAACGTGTAAAACGTATCATCACACACTGGACATTCGAAACGATGATCTTTAGCATCCTGATGCTGGTGTAATCCATCAAGTGTACGAAATTCATTCGGACAGTCTGGGCATTGATACAGACGTGGAGAAGATACAACAGGGACGTAGCCGGAGGGAGGTGCACAGATGCCCTGCATTCCCCTTGGTCCAATAATATCTGGAGGAGAGTTCAGGTAAAGAACCTTGTCACAAGACAAAAAACTATTCTCCCGTTGATGTGGACTCTCTATGCGAAATTCCAGGCTATGCCCCTGAAATACAACAGGAGCGTGGCCAAAGGGAGGTGTACAAGTACCCTGCATCCCCCTTGGCCTAAAAACAGCTGATGGGGGATGCTCGTAAAGAACCTTGTCACATGACAAAAAACTATTTTGTCGTTGATGTGTGTCTGCCATGCGAAAGTCCTGGCTACGCCCCTGAGATACAGGCATTGGTAATGCAATAAATGTACTATCGGGTTGCTTAGTAAACATATCCCATAAGTAATGCGCATTAATCGATGTCCACAAATCTTCGCTGACTGGTTTATTATGAATAACAACAACATAATAGCCAACTTGATGACGAAGATCATTTAGCTTACCGACATAGTCAATATCACTTGAAATGAACACTATAGTAGCTGGTGGTCTATGAACTCGTTCGAAACGATCTAAGTCCAATAGAATTCGTCGGTCAACAGCTCCTGGTTTATGATCGGGCACATCAATAATGCGCACATTGGCATGATGTAATTTAGCCAGTACTGAACGTGAAATTGTGGTCGTGTCACACTTGTAACAATCAAATCCGATTTCGAGGGATTGCGGACTGTGAACGAATTTTTCACGAAGTCGTTGAATAATATGCGATGGATTTTGCATATGAGGTATATGCACATTTTCAATATCCCAGAAAAAACTTACTAAACCATTTTGAGGCTGCGGGTGGGGAAGTTCATAAGGCACTGATAGACTTGACGTGTATGACGGTGGAGAAGGATGCGGATAACGACAGTAAAGATTTCGACACGTATGAGGCCATCTGGAACAGTTTTTGTTCCTTTGTTTTGCGGCTTCAAAACAGTGACGATAGGGACAGTTCTTATCGTAAGGGCAGGAACCATTTAGAAAATTTTGGCAATCTGTTAACTCTTGAAGCGTCGACATGAAAGAATAGAAACTATGGTTGTTTCAACGTCTAATTGCATAAAAATATTTAAAAGTATGTCTGCCACTTATAATATGCGTACATTGTTGCAGTTGTTTTGCATGAAGAACAGAACATAATAAAAAAAATTAAATGACATATCTAAAAGAGAACGTCGTTCTTTATATTCATAAGAAGGCAAAAATCTGTTCGCCGTCAGCTTGAGTGGTGATGCATGTTACGATGTGCGCAACACTTCTGCAGCATCGTAAAACACTGTTTTGAAAAAAAATAAAAATAATATAAAAGAAAACGTATAGTTTTCATTGGACGATTGTGAGAGTAATGAAACGTAGCTTATGTTATAAATTTAATGAATGGTGGAAGAATGTGACATATGTAAAGGAACATAAAAGATCGCAAGAATGTGGATGTGAATGGGGACGTGAGCGTTGGTAAGGGTGTAGATGTGGTTATGCTATTCATTCTACACCCACACCCACACCCAAAATTGTCCTCTCTGGTTTCATATCAAAGTGTATATGACAGATCAGAGTAACATCATTTGAAAAATGATAGAAGTTACAAAGACAAAATCAAGAATCAGTTCAAAAAATACACTGTTTGTGGGTTTCTAATGAATTTTCGATCTGTTTGTAAATACATCAATGAGAAAACGCTTTGAATTCCAATTAGTATTGGTTTTTATCCGGTTTATATTTATGACAATACTCACTAAGTATTTGATTATTTGAAGTAATATTACGAAGGAAACGTTGTTTGAAACGGCTCTCTTCCTTTTCTTTCCAACTATAAATGAAATGCTGTGGTGTACTTTCTTCTTTCTAGAAATCTGATTCGCCAAAGTAGGGTTGACTTGGTTAAAAAGAGAAAAAAATGATTCTTTTCTTCGACTATCGTATCAGAGAAAGAGTAGGTAGTAATTGTATACTGCTTCTTCTGTAAAGCAGCTGCACCATGGAAACCAAAATTTTATATTTTTTTATTTACTCTTCAAAACTAACAAGATATAATGTAAGCGGCGGTCGTCGCTGATGACGACTTCTATTTATTACAAAACGCATAATATGTTGTTGAAGGTGAAACAGATGGCATACTCTTTTTCCATTACCTTTCCTCATTGAAAGAAACAAGAGAAAAGAGTGTTTCTTTTCTACTACAGTAGGGAGTAAAAAGATGAAACTAATTTTTATCTGTACAGTGAGAGTACTGAAAAGCGTTTCAAAAGCAAACAAAATCAGGATTAATTCAAAAAACGACGGTTCTAAACATATCGTATCGGGTAGTAAATGACTAGTCATTTTTCTTCTTATTATTTGCTCACGTAAATCTGTGAGAGATATCTTTTAAAAAACTAATCAATCAAATATAGAATTAGTGTTCCAAATAATCCATTATTAAATATAATTCTAATGAGTTTATGAACAAATCAGTGTGAAAACTTCTATCAGAAATCGAAATATATTATCACACTTGATAAAATGTCACTTATTACATTGAAAGAGGGGTGGATGTGAGTGAGCGACAATCGTTATCCTTTATCTACACCTACATTCTCAAGCTGGTCCCTAATACCTAGCGGTGATCCTAACAAACTTCTGAAGATTTTATGTTGATAGTGCTTAAAAAGTTTGGAAGCTTCTTGCAACTGTTCTAGGATAGGTATGGTAGTATCTTTTCTTAGTCCTTACCTACATCTACAAGATTGTTCTCACATTCTTCCTGACTTCGATATATACCTATGTGCGCTGAAAGACAAAAATCAACAGCAGACCTACTACCTATTGTCAAGCTATGAAATGATTTACTTTTCCTCTTACGGGAGCGGGAATGGCTTTTTTTCCGGAAAAGAGCGTGTGAGAACAAAGAAAAACAACTTTTTGTCTGTGAAGGAGACTGAAGTAAAGCAAGCAAAAAAATTCTTTCAGATACCAAAGTATAGCAGAGAACAATTGAAGTTAGCACACATTATTGCATTATTTACAAGCATATTCGTGGTTAAATCAAGGCCTATTAAATCAGCTAAAGATAAACCGAGAATTAAATTTTTGTCATGATTCATAGTAATTAATTTATTCCCGATTAATGTTCGCATAAGATAACCTTTTCATTTTGATTTTAATTGTGTCAAAGCTGTTAATGTCTTAAATCGAGCAATATTCGTTCGATTCATTAGTTTCACATTCTTTTATAATAATTTACCTAATGAATAAAAATAATGAACTAAAGTTGCTTCTTCTTGTTCATCAGCTATTTTTAAATCTTGTTAACGATTTTCTTATGCAATTGATATTTCGGTATTATTTTGCATGACAGTATAAGCAATTATAGCCAATAGAACAAATAATCCAGCTAGGAGTTGAGCGCAATCGAGAAATAATTCAATTCTACTTTTCTTTTTTTTTTATATTGCCCATAGATGCTGTGTGCTACCTTAGAAGTTATTGATATACTATTTCGTATCTCACAAGATTTTTTACAAAAATCAAACCCTCAAAGAAAAGAAGTCAATATTTCTGTATTATAATGCAATATTTTATTAAGGAGAAATATATGACACATGAATGATCTCTATCTTTCTTTTGTTATTGAGATAAAAAAGAAACATGACTGATTATTAAATAAGTAAATATTTATTTTAGTTTCTTGCATCAATATCTATCCACAAAGATTAACTTGCGTTGTTTTTACTCTATTCTTAAAAATATCGATTGCAAAGGCACAGAATTCTTCTTCTATGTTTCGTTCTTAATAGATATTCAATACTTTATTTTGCGAAAATCATAATAATATTTATTAAGAAGAAGAATCTTATGTTAAAATTGATAAAAAACATTGACGAATGATTGTTAATATTGAGTTTGTTTGCTCTATCTCTAACAAAAAAAATATTCAGGTGTGTCCTGCAGATTTTTAGGGTGAAGACTTGTGTGAGGCTATGAGAATGATGATTTACTTTTGGCTCACTCACAACACCGATGCGTTTCTCATCTCTAGTTGAAAAAACAATTTGAATCAAAGATTTCCATTGTGCTTGAAAACTCGTCACTACCAGATTGTAAAAATTATTAGATTATTGAATTGCGTTTCGCAACTGTAATTATATTTGAATAGAACTAGTGTTACTAATTGATAAGATTCATCCATTACCAGAGTGTTGTTCTTGAAAATATTCAATTTCGAGTTGAATTCATGCATCTTTTTCATGTGCCTTAGAAAAATAAATCGTATCGCGATGAACAATTCTGCTTTGTATATGTCTAATGAGTTTTTATTCTAAAACAGATCGCAATACTTGAAGAGAAAAACTTTTATCATAGAAATACTTATTGCGCATAGAGAAATAAAGAACGTGATTAAAAGTGAGTCCTGACAAAGCAGATTATTTAATAGAGCCAAATAAAAAAAGACATCAAACTAATCATGACTTACTCATTGACGTCGATCACTTATTGACGATGATAGTTGATATCTTATTTTTAGTTAAAACACGTCCGATGATTAATACAGATTTTCAACAATTCTTCTTTCTCTTCATCACGTTCTTCTTCACTAAAATCAAAAGTTTTCAATAAAATCAGAAAAAAAGAGAAAAGGATCATGTCGAATTTAAATTTTATTCTGTGTTTTCAAATTTGGAAAAGAATGAAATTCAATCAAAAATATAAAATTCAAAAACGAATTTCTTATCTTACCTACGACGAAACCTTCGGTAGAACACTATTTTTTCTCTTTGTGTGTTATGGTGAAATAAATAAATGAGAGAAAGAGAGAGATATAACTAGAGAAAAAATCTACAATGAGTGCCATTTGTTTTCATCGAAGGCAAAGAAAAAGAAGATTATTTTATTAGTTAACTAATTCATCAAATAAAATCTTGTTAAATGATGTGGAATATCTACATATTTATCGTTATTCTTCTGTTCATTTGCAACAATGAAACATCAGGTAAATACTTTTATTTATCACAGACTGAACATCAGCTATTACACAAATGACATTAGTCGCTAAGTCTCTACTATAGAACAAAATACAAAATCGTCACAGTCTTGACGACTTTCATATATTTACCCTTTTCACAAGTATTGAATAGCGTTATGGGTATTTTTCGCATGTGAATAGGTGAGAGTATGATTAGAGCGCACAGAAGTTGAGTGAGAATATAGATGGTGATGAGATTTAGTAGGCTTTTGTAATCGATGATAACGGTGGCATTGAGCGAATGCAGATCGTAGACAAAGATGATGATATCTAATTCAAATGATTTAATATCAGTAAATTCACAATGTTTTTCATATAAAAACGAGAACTAATTTTGAATTTCAAAGGTATTTTTCCCTCGACTGTAGCTAGGGTCATATGAAATAAAATAGTTTGTATGTTTGTGGCAGGTCAACGGTCAAAAAAACATCTACTTCCAAATATATCAGCGCGGGTCTAAAACAGTGAGTCTGGGTGGAATAGGTCAGGGATGGGTGAAACTGAGTTGGTGTTGGTGAAATAGGGTAGAAGTGGGTGGGCTGGGTGAAATGAGGTGGATGTGGGTGGAAATGGGCCAAATAGAGTAGAAGTGGGTGAAATAGGTTAAAAGTCGGCGGAAATGGGTGAAATAGGGTAGGAGGTGGGCGAGTGACTGGAAGCGAGTGATTTGGGATAAAAGTGCGTGGGAGAGGGTATGGCTATGGCTGTGTTTTTAGTTCGGATTCATTACCGATACCAATACCCACACTCAGATTCACATAACCACATTCTCAAGGTCGAGGATGCAATGAGTTGTGACGACGAACGTTACTTGTGTTTAAATATCAATCAGTTCCAGTAAAGTCTTTTTCATCCTAAACAATTCCTTTTTCCTCCTTCGAATTCATTTTCGTTGGGCAAACAAAAAAATACTTGATTATTTTTTTGTCTTCAATGATAATCATATCTTTTCAAGGATCAAGTATAATTATTTTTCTTCTACAACAAAACAAATCAATAAATGAAGCTGATCTTTTTCGATAAATTTAGCCCTTTCTTAGTTGATATTTACAAATCATACGGGAAAATACAACAACAAACAAAGAAATGTTTTCAAAATTAATCTCAATGAATCCTCCCCACAAAAACATAAACTAACAATTTCATTTACTTTACAGTTCTCTAATATTCTATTTTTCTTGTTTTTAGCTCTTTCATTCAATCAGCCAAAGTTTTCTCCAACACCCATTTGGGATTCTAATGGAATTACTATTGCTGATCGATCGGTTATTGGCAAAAATCCTATGGCCATTTTTGTGAACACAAACAACACAATCTATATCGCTAATCAAGAAAATAACACAATTGTAGTTTGGCAAGAAGAGAGTGTCAATCCAACAATGATCATTTCTGGTAATTTTACAGAATCTCATTCTCTCTTCGTGACATCAAATGGTGATATTTATATTGATGATGGTGATTATAATGGTCATGTGCTGAAATACATGGTAGAAACAAGTACTTTTGTCACAGTGATGAATGTCAACTCATCATGTGAAGGTTTATTTGTCGATATCAACGATACTCTTTATTGTTCAATGTCTGAGCATCATCAAGTAGTGAAAAGATCGTTAAATGATTATGAGATAAATTCAAATCATGTTGCTGCTGGGACAGGTAGTCTAGGATCAAACTCGAATCAACTCCATTGGCCTCTTGGAATCTTTGTCGATGTAAACTTGGATTTATGTGTGGCAGATTGTGAAAATCATCGAGTTCAGTTATTTCAGTCAGGAGTATCAAATGGCATCACAGTGGCTGGAGAAGAATCACTAAATCCAACAATTACACTTAATTGTCCAACTAAAATTATATTAGATACTGACAAATATTTATTCATTGTGGATCGTAACTATCATCGCATTGTTGGTTCAAGCTTGGATGGTTTTCGATGTTTAGTTGGATGTTTTGGAAAGGGTTTACAATCCAATCAATTGTATGATCCATTTAGTTTTAGCTTTGATCAGTCTGGAAACATGTTTGTTACTGATTATACAAATCATCGAATCCAAAAATTTTTATTGATGAAAGATTCTTTTGGTAAGTTGAAGAAAAGTTGAATGAAATGAAGAGATGTGAATAGATAGGTAACAGAAGTTAATGAAAACATTTCAATATAAAAAACGAAAGAAAAAAAAAATGGTCGAGAAAGATTAATTAAAACAATATGTAAAGAAAGTGTCTAAAGAAATAAAATATTTAGATTAGACAAAGCCATGTCTCAATCGCCTAAGACAAACAATCTTTGTTTTTTTTGTAGAGATTACAGAATAGAGAAAGCAAAAGTTGTGTCCTTAATGTAGTTAGAGAAAGAACTTTCATGTTTCACTTCATATGTCTCGCAGAATATTTCATTAGTAAAACAATTTTCATCGAAATAAAATCTGTTCATATCTCTGTCGATACAGTTTTAATATAAATTATTCTATGATTTAACTTCATATTTCATATTTCATATTTCGATATGTTTGGTTCGAGAAAAATAAGACAAATAAAATATCATAATTCTAACAGCTAATTTTTCTTCTTTTTTATGTAAAAACTGAATTTAGTCATTATTTCGCTTTGAGAGAGATAAATTTCAATATGAAATATTATAAAAAATGAATTGTAGTCATGAAGAAATGTTTGATTGATTGTTTGTTTTTTGAATAGTTATCATAATATTTAATTGCAGAGAATACAAATTAGATTCATAAAAATTCCTTCTTTTCTATTTATTTTGTTGTTTTTACATAAATAAATTCTTTTATTTGACTATTTTCTTTGATGCAATTTATTCAGATATGCCACAAGATTTTACAACAAAAAATAATAAGAAAACCTTTTATCTGAAATAATCAACATCAACGGCATAAACAAAAATATTTCAACAATATCACAATTGATAATTCATATGAGAATTAATAAAAATCATTGCTAAAATCAATCTAAACACATTTCCGAATGTCTTTTCATGAAAAATTTCTTTGAAGAAACTTTGTTTTTCTTCTATAAATATACAAATTAACAAATTCATTTCGTTTACAGTTCTCCTCTGATATTCTATTTTTCTCTTTTTTAGCCCTTTCATTCAATCAACCAAAGTTTTGTCAAACAGCCACTTGGAATTCTAATGGAAGTACTTTTGCTAATCAATCGATTGTTGGTGAAGATCCTGTCGCCATTTTTGTGAACACAAACAATACAATCTATGTCGCTAATCGAGAAAATAACACAATTGTAATATGGCATGAAGAGAATCTCAATCCAACAATGATCATTCATGGTAATTTTACACAACCTCGTTCTCTCTTCGTGACATCAAATGGTGATATTTATATTGATGATGGTGATTATAATCGTCTAGTGCAAAAATGGAGTGCAGCAACAGGTACCTTTGTCACGGTGATGAATGTCAACTCATCATGTGATGGTTTGTTTATCGATATCAATGATACTCTTTACTGTTCAATGTCCTTTAATGATCAAGTAGTGAAAAGATCATTACATGATTCTGAGATGAATTCAAATCGTGTTGCTGCTGGAACAGGTATTAGAGGATCAGCTTTGGATCAATTTGCTGATCCTGCTGGAATCTTTGTCGATGTGAATTTGGATTTATATGTGGCAGATTGTTTAAATAATCGTGTTCAGCTATTTCAGTCAGGAGAATCAAATGGCATCACAGTAGCTGGATATAAATCACAAACTCCAACAATCGAACTTTACTATCCCACTGGAATTATATTAGATGCTGAGAAATATTTATTCATTGTGGATCGTAATAATCATCGCATTGTTGGTTCAAGCTTGGATGGATTTCAATGTTTAGTTGGATGTTATGAAGGGGGTTCACAGTCTAATCAATTGAATATTCCAGTTAGTTTAAGTTTCGATCATTCTGGGAACATATTTGTGACTGATCGAGTGAATAATCGAATTCAAAAATTTCAATATTTGGAAGAATTGTGTAGTAAGTGTAGAAGAATCAAATAAAGTCTTTAACAACATTTCAGTTAATATTTAATCAGGGAAAATTAAGAAAAAAAATAACTCTATAAGATTAGGATGGAAATAAAGCTCCTAAGGGATTTCCAACTGAATTACTGAATAATAAAATTCAAATTTCGTGTTTCATCCTAATATAGTATTGTTATAAAATAAAAACCTTGCTTATTCATAATTCTCTACAAAAGTCAATCAATAAAATTATCGTCACGTTAGTTGCATGATACAGATGAAAGTTAGAGTGTCTATGTATTTAGTTGAAAAATCAGAGATGGATTCAGCTCTTTTTGTTCAATTTTTCTTTAAATTTTCTTTGATTCACCATTATCTGCGCTCACTTACTGCTGCTGGCTATAGAAAATAATGAATACAATGATTTTATAAAACGTAGGTCAGTGTCTTCACAGAAAAATGCGAAGAACGAGAAGAAGGAAAAAGTTCTATCCTTACCTGATTATTCGAGATACACTTTATCAGAATAGAAAATAACTAAAGAATCGTTCTTGTAATATTTTAACAATGAATTGAATGTCACTTCCAACCAACATTTTCTTGATGATGTCGTGTCATACTCGTAGATTGACTAGAACTTTATGAAATAGTTTCATCAGATAGTTTATTTTTATGCTTAGTGATATCAACAAAAAAACTGATGTTCTGCATTTTATCTATGAAAAAAGAAAAGTTTGAAGATAAAGATGATGATGAAGAAGTCATAAATTTTTAAGTGTATTACTTATCAGATTTTTTTAGTCCAAAGTTGTACTCGTTTTTGTATGCAAGGTTTTATAAAAATTTCTTTATTGTAATTATTACAATGTCTCCTAGAAAGAACATACGAATTTTGGACGCTAAATAGATATTTTATTATATGTTTTTCTTCATTTTTCTATCGAAAGTATTGCTCTGAAACAAACGATTCAACTCTCATTAGTAACCAGAGTGAAGAGCAAACAAAGAATATGTGCAGTCATTTCTTTTCTTTATTCTAAATGCAAATACTCATTGCTTTTTTCATTCAATAGATAACTCATTACTGCTAACGAAATCAATGTATTCATCATCGTTCACGCTAAATACTTCAATGTATTTCAAAGATTGTTCAGAGTTTGATTGGTATTATGAAGCGATACAAATGAAGGTCACTGTAACTGGTCATTATGCTTTTTTAATCAACAGCGAAATGAAAATCAGGGACGTTTACATCTACACGAATAACTTTAATCCATCCGATATGTCTAAAAATTTCCTCAGTCGTAGTGCAGAGTACGAAAACGGAGGTCAGCTTCAGCTCGTAGCTTTTTGCCAAGCCAACATGAAATACATTTTTGTTATGATGGCACCTTCTCCAAATGTAAAAGGAAATGTTTCAATTCAAGTATCTGGCCTAAGTTATATCAATTTCAGTCGTATATGTGAGTATCTATAATATTTCAGTGAATAATCAGCTGCACTTATTCGTAATCAATAAAAATATAGATAAACTCAATCTATAAAATAACACACAGATACTTCTCTTCGATAGAAACTAAGATTTATATCATTTTCAGTTGCTTTCGGTAAATCTATCTGAGAGAGAAAATAATATTTCAAATAGTTTATACTCATTTCCATATTATACAAAACTGAATCGATTTTCTTTTTCGTTAGGGAATACTTCATCAGCTGTTCAAACAGTTTACAGATCAAAATTGACAACGAACAGTTCAACGTATTTCCCTCAGTGTTCAAGTTCAAGTTCTTACTATGAAGCGATACAAGTGAATGTTCGTAGAAGCGGCCTTTACACTTTCTTCAGCAAAAGCAATGAACACACATCCGGCTCTATTTACGAAAATTCTTTCAATCCATCCAATCCAGATGAAAATCAACACAAATATTATGATGACAGCTGCAAGCCGTTTTATTTTAAATTCACAATTGCTCTTGAGAGTAGTATTACATACATATTGGTTGTGACAACGTCAAATTCTAATAAGATAGGTGCATTCCCGATCTTTGTATCCGGTCTATATAATGTTGATCTCAAGAATATTAGTAAGTGCTTTCACTACAACTTTTAAGTGAATAACTGTCAACGTTAGCATAAGTATTTAGTTGAGTTTGGCATATTCACAAATAAAAACTTGGTTTGTAAGATGACGTTTGTATTATAAGAAGAAAGCTTCACATAAACAGCTATATTAAATCCATCAAATAACAGAATATCGTGAATAGGATCAGATCAATCTCCTTCAATACAGACCCATTTCAGTCGATCGCTAACTGATGTGAATAATATACAAATCGGCATGAATCCCTGCTCATGGTCATAAAATGAAAAAAGAACTTTGCTTTTTGTTAAAAAATATCCTTTCACTCAATGTTCCTATAGTAAAAAAATGCTGCAAACATTTAAATATAACTTATCGTAGATAAAAAATATAAACATATTTTTATTTTGCATGAACCTAAAAGATATCTTCACATACTTTAATTTTTCAATAAACTAAAATAGTAGGAGAACTAGACTATAAATAAACCATTTTTTTCTATCTAAAACATTGGGATATTATCCATTTCCGAAATAAAAAAGTTATTCAAAATTCATATACAACTTGATTATTCATTGAGAGTGACATTATAGACAGTTCTCTCTTCAGAAAGCTAGATTCAACTTCGGCAGTCCTTTCGATATTCCCGGTATATAAGAGATGACTTATGATGCTCAATTTTCTTTCTTACACCCAGACAATTCGTCTTTCTCTTAGTCAGTCAAGAGCTATCATGAATCTCGACTGTTATTTTTATTTTCATCATATAGGTTATCCATCAGTCATCGAAATAAAATATTCAGATGATGTGCAATCGAACTATTCATCAGAGCTAACAGCAAATAGTCAAACATATTCTCGAGATTGTCAAAAATCAAATTATTACTATCAAACTATACGAATGGGTGTGATTGAAACTGGATACTATGCTCTGAGTAGTTCTAGCAGTATAAATACATTTGGTGATATTTACGAAGATGATTTTAATCCAATGAATCGTGTTGAGAATCTACTCAAACAGGATTATCGAAGCTGTACTTATCAAAATTTCAAGTTCATCGTTTATCTTCGCACTAGCACTACATACATATTAGTGTTGACAACATCTTCTCCAAATATGACAGGAAACTTTTCCATTCTAGCATCTGGTCCAAATAACATCACTCTTAATTCTTACAGTAAGTATTTTATATTATTTTATAAATCATTAACAGAGAATTACAATATTCTCTGGACTCCATTTTCACTCTTGAACAATAAAAGATCTGAGAATTTCAAATAGATCGTATAATTTAATAGAATTATTGTCAAAAAATAGAATCAAATCGGAACTCTTTCTTTTAAAAATGGGTAATTTTCTTCCAATCAGATAAAAATAGGAATATAGAAATCTAATCTCGACAACACATATCACGTATAGATAAATGACTTTCATAAACTATTTTTGCTTACAAATTTACTCCTACATGACTTTGTTAAGTCAAAAAAGATTGATCTCATCCTTTGATGGCAATGCATTTTTTTCTTCAGTTCAAAGTCTAACCAATTGTTTCATTGGTCAAAAATGTCAGTTCTACAAAAAAAGTGTTGGTGTCACTCTCGATGATATTTTACGTGACCAAATTCGAACAAACATGACAATGACTGACCAAACAATATTGGTAAAAACTAATGCCGCTGCGACGATGATTATGTTTGTTGGAGGTTTCATCAATAGTATTTTGTCTCTAATAACATTTCAAAATAAAGATCTACGAAAAGTTGGATGTGGCATTTATCTCTTAGCATCATCAATTACTTCTTTTCTTACAATTAGCATGTTTGTAGTGAAGTTTTGGTTTGTTGTTCTCACTCAAATGAATTTAACAATTCCAGTTTCTGTTGTTCGAAGAGGTTGTATATTGATCGAACCTCTTCTCAAGCTTTGTCTATATTTGGATGCTTGGCTCAATGCTTGTGTAGCCATTGAAAGAGCGATACTCGTTTTCAAAGGAATCAACTTCAATAAACAGAAAAGTCAACGCATAGCTCGATGGATAATTCTTATCTTACCATTGTGTATCATGGTTTCAGTCATTCACGAACCTATATATCGAGAATTATATGAAATGAAGACAGAGACGACCAAAGTAGATATCGATAGATGGTGTTTAACTCGTTATTCCCCTTTTGTTCAACAATACAATACAATCATCTTATTTTTTCATCTTGTCGGTCCATGTATTATCAATCTTGGTTCTGCTTTATTCATCATATTCGGATCAGCCCAGCAACGATCAGCAGCTCAAACAAGACAAGCTCTAAGGGAACATGTTTATCATCAATTTAATGAACACAAACAGTTATTGATTAGTCCGATTGTTCTTCTAATTCTGTCCTTACCCCGTCTGATTATGTCAATGTTGTCAGAATGTGTCAATCCATCAAACAATCGATTATTATTTATTTTTGGTTATTTCATTTCATTCACTCCATCGATGCTTATCTTTATTGTTTTTGTCCTTCCTTCAGCATTGTACAGAAAAACATTTCAAAAATCATTCAGACGATGGCGACGACTTATTCATCAGTAATCAATATTTCTTTATTATTTCAGAACTTTTCTAATTTATTAGTATAGTATTCGCTTTGATTTGATAATTAATCGAGAAATATCGATAAAACAGAACAACATTTTCTGTCTTTTGCATAGACTATTGAATAATGGAAAGACAAATCTGATGAATGTATGGTGATATTATTGTTAACTTGTTGAAAAATGAAGACGAAAATTTATTCATCATGTACATCCATATCCGCTATCAGGACGAAATCTCACAAGTTTCGAAAGTGTTGCTTCTGAAAACAGTTCTCATATGAATTTATCAGCTTGTTATGTAATAAAATTTTGTATCAATGTAGTTTTCATCCTTAATAATATTACTTATAGAGTGAGAATGATAAGAAAAAATGTCAGGCTAAGGATAAAATAGAATTCAAACCTGCTTAACACATTTCAAAATTAGTGTCTGAAATAGTTTTCTGATATGATCATTTT